GATTTCCATTTAAATAAGATTAAGTAATGCATGTGTAGATCTATATAAAGTTCCGTCAACAACAATTATGTACTATGTAATATATTAAACATGAATCAATCGAATCTAAGTAATATGGTGGACAATGACTTAGCTCGATGATTATGGTTTCGGAGAATAAAGAAGGAGACGACATCGGAAACGCAAACTGGACGGAGACGGTGTTCGAGAGATCGGAGAACTTTTAGTTCTAAGTGATTAGGATTTTCTTAGCTCAGACGGTTAAGGCTTTTGGTTTTTGTGAGATAGATTTAGGGTTTCAGGATTTTTAGCTTTTAGGGTGAGAGGCTATCGTGCTGATAACGTGTTGTGAACTGTGTCTTTCATTAATAGAATAAGGGATATATATACAAGGATAATAGTAGGATACAGAGAATAAGATAAAACCCTAATGGGCCATGGGCCGGTTATGGAGTCCATCCATATGGTTTATAACAAAAACGAATATCTAAAAAAAAAAAATGTTAAGTCATATAATTTTGTGATTTAAATCTTAAAACAATTTTAAACCATCCTGGTGTTATTTTAAACTAGATTGTATATATAGATTATAGGTTTTGTTGATTAAAGAAAAAGGTACATAATTTTAGGTTTTAAATTCTTTTGGGTGACATATTTTTTTTGTCAAATCGTAAAGTTTTAGTCATTTGATCTGTATCTGAAATTAAATTAGACTTTTGGTAATCCAATCTTCTTGTTCTGAATAGAGTATTGTACTCAAATTTGTTTTGTTAAGCAAGTGGATGAAAACATTTGTAGGCAACTTTGCTAATTCTGGGACTCTACGAATTTGATAAAAGCTCCAATACATAGTGGCTGACAATGATATGAATCAGCTTCAATATGATAGAAGAGAAAATAAGTAAAAGTTCATAACAAAATATTCAAAAATAACAAGAAAACTAATACATCTACAAGCCTCCAAGAATTGGCATTCGCATAATAAATAACAAAATTAGTTTTTACCAATTCAAGAATGACTTGTATAAAGAGAAGTTGCAATTTCAAGTAAACAACTAAAAATGTTGGTGATCGTCCTTAGTTGGCAAGTGTTTTAAATAATAAATCCAATTTGGTCTAAGACATCATATCATCTTTGTCGGATTTATTCATACGTTAGCTTTGTTTTTTTAATTGACTTATGGATTTGATGAACTAGTAGAAAGATGCCTTTTTCTCTCTGTCGAACAAACCATAAAATAAATTGTAATCTTTCACCAACCAAACTAAATTGCATCTAAACAAAATTACGCAACTCATGCATATAGTATTAATTTTTTTAACGTGATTTATTTCTTTTTGTTTTATGTAATGTTCTTTTTGGTTGGTTGCAATAGGTTTAGGCGTAATTTTATTTTATTTTAGTAGAGAACTATGGCTGCAAATTATCCACATGTACAAAATCATTTTTGAATCGGATCAGAAAATATATGATATGTTTTCTAACTTGATTTTATGTGTTGGTTTCAGTGTCGTTTTGCATTTGTTTCGTTTAGTAACTTTGTTTAGTAGTAAAAGTTTTCTTTTAACAGTAAAATTTTTTAATTTAATCTGGTTTCGATACAAAAAATTTAGTTAATTTAATTCATGAGAAGAGAATTACAATTATGTCTTCACTTATAGTAATAAATATGGACTTACTTTTGCTTTTCATTCATAGTATTTAGAGCATTTTTTTCCATAAGTATAAACAAAACTTTGATTAGTGTAAGAGATAATTACTCTTAGTGTTTTCTGATTTCCATTGAGTATTAACTTTACGAATAAATTCTTCAACTCTTCTTCGAAGTACACACTCCATTTCGCTCACATTCTCTTCCAAGCTCCCTTTCTCATCATTCTCTGTAATATCTGAACCGGGTTTGGATGTTAACGATTGCTCAGAACCGGCGGGTTTGGAGGAGAGATTCGACTTAGATATCACCCCGGGTTCTTGTAAACCGGGCTTAGATGTGATATACGACTTAGAGATCAACACAGATTTATCAAAACCGGGTTTGGACAAGAGAACCGTCTTCGATTTCAACCCTGATTTCCCAAAACCGGGTTTGGGAGAGAGAACCGGTTCAGAATTCAACAAGGATTGCTCAAAACCGGTTTTGGATGAGATAGTCGACTCAGAAATCATCACGAAGTTCTCAAAACCGGGTTTGGAAGAGAGAGCCGGCTCGGAATTCAACAAGGTTTTCTTAAAACCGGGTTTGGAAGAGAGAGCCGGCTCAGAAGTCAATAAGGTTTTCTTAAAACCGGGTTTGGAAGAGAGAGCCGGCTCAGAAGTCAACAAGGTTTTCTTAAAACCGGGTTTGGAAGAGCTAGTCGACTCAGAAATCATCATGGAATTCTCAAAACCGGATTTAGAGGAGAGAACCGAGTCAGAAAACATCACGGATTTCTGCAAACCGGGATTTGATTTGTCTTGGGAACCCGGTTTAGAGTTGCCCATGAGGATCAAGATGATGATGAAGTTGCAGAAAAGGAACATGAATAAAGAATTGGAAGTAGTCTTGTTGACAAGCTCCATAACAGAATCTATCATCATCTTCTTTAATCAGAAAAACAGAGAAAGAGAAGAGAGAGAGAGAAAGTGAGTAAGAAGAAGAAGAAAGATAGTTTGTGCGAAAGAGACGGCTTTGTGAGACCTTTAAATTGAGGATGAGAGACTTCTAAGACAAGTTCGATGATGACAAAGACTGCTGAATAAAGTAGTTGGAATCTCTTTGTTTAATGACAAATATTTAAACAAGTGATTAGTATTAACTCCTCCTTGCCAGCTAAGTTGTAATAAGTCTTTCTAACAACTAAGTGTTTTAAGACACATGGGGTCTTTGTTAATTCAAGTATTTTATTACTACATTGTAAATATATATATACTTGGACTATGAAAAACCCTTTGACAGGGACAGAGGGTTTCTCTAGTATTAAAGCATGATTGTGATTTGTGACTAAATTTTGTTTTTATTCATCAGTTTCAACTTTCAACAATGAATTTACAATTGTTCATATACACAAGATGATGTTAAATTCATAATAGAACGATGTTTTGTTGAAATGCTCTCAGAAAAATATATAACAAGAACTAATTTATGGATTTATTTTTATAACTTTTTGTTAAAAAATTGAAAATATAATACAAAAATTTGGGTTATCAACATTAAATTTAAACCTATACAAAAAAAAAAAAAAATCAGACTCCGAAGCACATTAAATTTGTTTTTTTTTTTTTTTTTTTTTTTTTTTTTCCTCTTTCCTCTCTCCCTCGACGATAAAGAACCAGAGAAAGCAAATAGTTCCGTCAAGCGCGTGGCGGCTTAGATAGCGCCGGCGTCGGTCCCTCCGTCTGTTTTTCTTTATGGTTTCGCTCTCTGCTTAGTCTTTTCGGTTTTTGGAGCCTTGGTTGTTGTTGGCAAGGTGAAGAATTTTTGGATCTCAGATCTGAATGGGTCATGGCTGTGTTCTTCGATTCGTCGATGGATGGTGTGGATGAAGTTCCTTTTCTCTATGTTGAGAAATCCTGGGCTTCTCCTTTGTCCTCTCAGTTTTGGGTTTCGACGAAGGTTGTTATCGGCGGCTAATTTTTACTTGAGGTCTGGCTCTCTTCCTTTGGGTAGGGTTGCAACGGTACCCTAGTGATTAGGCGTTAGTGGTTTGGTAATTGCTCTTTGCTCTTTTGTTAGCCTTGTTCTCTTCGATTCTCTTTTGGGTTCCTGTTTGTTTGCCTTCATTGTTGGTGGGTTGGTGGATGTGGTGGAATCAGTTCTATATTCAGTCTTTTGTGGTTTAGCATCTTTCTTTTGCCTAGTCTATGTCCTGCCGCGTTCGCTTGTTGTTCGATCCTGTTCGTGCTCTTGCCGTTTCCAGTCTTCGGTTTGATGCGGATTGTTTGGACTCAGTCCTTGTCTCTACGGTATAGACCTGATCGAGGTCTCTTTATTGCATTGGTATCTTTCTTGGCGTGGACAAAACGTGGTTGTTTCCTTTGCTTCGATTTCGCCGTTTCCAGGAGTTGGGTGTGCTTTCTAGTCGTCTTCCCTTCTTGCTGGTAAAGATGCTTTAGTTCTCTTTATTTGTGAGGTAGTCTTCATTGTTAAAGGAGGAGTCGTTGTCCGGTGTCGTGGATTTTCTCGTCACCATCGGTCAGCCACTACGTCAAGCGTTTCTCGCTGTTTGGATTGATGGTAGGCAATTTGTGTGGTGCTAGATTCTGAGTTAGAGGTTTGGTTTTTTCCTTCATTGTGCTGCTTTAGCCTTCTTTGTTTTGGCATTTTTTTTGGAGTGTTGTTGCTGATTTCCCGTCTCTATGGGTTTAGTTTCGAGTTTAGTTTCCGGAGATGTCTCGTTTTCTTCCGGCTTTTGTCTCTGGGAACTTTTAGTTGTTCGCCAGCTTTGTTTCCCTCGTTTGGGCATTTGGCTTGTTGTAAGGTTTCATTTCAATTTTAATCAAAATTTCTAGACGACAAAAAAAAAAAAAAAAAGTAGATATTTAAAAAGTGTTGTCAAGATCAAGAGAAACTAAGGTGGAATCAACTTAAGTGTTGGAGAGACTCTAAAGCAAACAAAAGGTCTCAAAAGAAGCTACCAGCTTGTTTAAGCTAAACCATCAAGGATCCGACAAGAATGATTCCGGATAGGTGCTAAGTGCTAACTACTAGCTGTTAAGACATGTGTCTTTCTCTATTAGTCATGTGTGTGTATAATTTGGGATGTGTGTAGGTTTCTCTAGTCTTATCACGGTTCAGAGATAACAATCTCTTTTTCACCTATAATAAGACTCGTAAACTCATGGTCTCTGCATTAATAAGATTTAACATCACCAACTATTATTATCGTGGTATAAGAAATAGAATGACTAAAAAAAAAACACAAAGAATCAAAACCCATATATATATGGCTCAACTTTGTGATGTTCCTCCTCATAAGAGTTCCAAGTACTTTGGGTTATTATATATACCGTAATAACAATATCACCATGAAAACAATTATTAAAAAAAAAAAAATCCAAAAAAATCACACTAGTAAAACATAATTTAAACCATAGTCAGTAAAAGCAAAAGGTAACAAATTCGGTTACAAGCCGAAGTGAATCTCTCTCTAGACGTCGTTGACCGGAGCACTAGCCGCTGCCTCCATCATACCGTTGCGTATCTGGTCGCTGATGTCCCTCACATGTCCCGGACCATGCGGGAGAAACACCGTTGTGTTCTTTGACGAGTTTCCAAGGTCTCTTATAGTGTCAAAGTACTGTGTGATCATGATCAAGTCCATCACTTCTTTGGCTGATGTGCCTTCTACTTTGTCAGAGAAGTTCAATATGTTCTCCCTCAATCCGTCCGTGATTGCTTGCCTCTGTCTAGCCACCCCGACACCACCTAAGTACTTGGCTTCCGCTTCTGCTTCCGCTCTCTTCACTTGGAGAATCTTCTCTGCTTCTCCTTTGTAAACACTCGCGAGCTGGAGCCTTTGTGCTGCATTTAAGTATAATTTATTTGAGATGCAATACTGAAATGAAGTCAACAAACTGTAAATTAACCTCCCATGAACGCTTGACAAAACATACTAAAAGAGAGTCTTTTTTTTTTTTTTGGGACAAACTAAAAGAGAGTCCTATAATCATAAAATGTATAAATCTTTCTATGCTTCTATGTGTAGGGAATCATTAGAGATTTAGAGACCTGAAAAGTATGAGACACTAATTCCCCTGGTGTCGGAAAATAGAGGTTACCTGCATTGATTTCGTTCATTGCCTTGCGTACAGAGGGATCAGGAAGAATGTCAACCATTAGAATGTGCTCAATGCTGTATCCATAAGCACCCATCACCTGAAGAAAACAATTCCAATCATGACCATTACAGAACTCTTCACCAGTACCGAAAGCAGGCTACCCTCGAATATATGTTATTACTAGTTTTCTCTATGCAATGCCCACATATCTACGATATCACTTCACAAAGCTCAAAATTCACCCGTTAGTTAGCTCAAATGCAGGAACACGATAAAACATCTCAAACAACTAATATCCATCTTACCATGAAGACAGAGTCTTGAATAAAACCAAACAATACACTAAATGTTGTAACTTTTCTCTATGAAATCCAAACATGCCTACTTGATAAACACTTTATAAGGCTCAAAATCCACCCATTAGTTAGCTCAACAAATGCAGGATCACTATAAAACATCAAAAACTGATATCTTCTATCTTATTATGAACAAGAGTCTCGAAACATACAAATGAATAAAATTTCGAAAGATCGACATGTTATACCTTCTCAAGCTCCTCAAGAACAGACTTGGCAACTTCACCCTTTTGTTCAAAAAGAGCATCTAGCGTCATCATTGGAACCAAAGCTCTAACCACTATGATTCAAGAACAAACACACAAGAACAAATCAAAAATCAAAACAGAGCTAATTCTTCAACAACAACAATAAAAACATCAAGAAAGAACCAAAAATTACCATCAAAGACATAAGCTTGGATCTGCTCTTTAGGGTTTTGAAGCTCATAAAACGCATCATCAGCACTACCTTTCACTACACGATACTGAATCGAACAAACCAGCTGCACAAACACATTATCCTACAAACAACAACAATAAACCACAAACCTAATTTCAACACATATTAACCAAAATTCCCAAAGATCAAAAGGATCAAAGTTGATCACGAACCTTAGTTTTGGTTTCAATTTTGACATCAAGAGAATTGATCCTAGTGGAGAGAACTCCGGCGAGCCATTGACCAGCGAGAGGGTTAAAGAAATGACATCCTGGTTCAGCTATATGCTCGAATCGACCCCAACGTTCGACCACACCAACGCTAGCTTGATCAATACAACCACCGAGGATACAATACGTGTTCCCCATTTCTACGCAGTACTCTCAAAGCTTTCGAAGAAGATGAAGAAGATGAACAAGTCTCGCTTATAAATCTCACGATTCGTTTCTATGGAAACAAATGGTGTTATGTGATCCAAGCCTTTTGCTACCGTTAGATCAAGCGGTTTAAGGAGAAATGGACGGTTAGGATTAGTGAATGATTATTTAGCAATTTAGCTATACAATGTCCACGTCACCAATATCTTCCTTCTTAAGATATTTCGAATAATCCGTGTTTGACCAATGAAAAGTATAATTTGATATTTTTTGTTTTTATCCAAATTTAATCCTAAGGATTTGATAATATGCAAATCAAAGATTAGGATTATTTGGTTTTAAAATTTTGTATTTTTTTTTTACAGATTCAGATGTAACTGATTATTAACCTTTGACTTTATAAATTTGTGTCTAGATGATTAAAGTTAAAGCTCACTACCAAATCGAGATCAAAACATTCTAAAAAAAAACCTCTAAATTCTTTTGATATTTGATTTGATCTCAATATCAAAAAAGATTTTTTTGTTATACTTTGGTTACTTTTTTTTTCTATATTGGCAATAATTGGTTCAGAAAGTAATTAAAAAAAAAGACAAAGTACCATAAATATTTTCCATCTACCGAAATTTTTAAAAATTAATGTACTTGTCTTGTCTTCTTCTAACATAATAAACACAAATCATACATAAAAAGTACAACACGTTGAACAATTTTAAACGTCAATAGGGAAGGGAAAAAGCACCTTTTCTTAACCCTAAACACAAGAAAAGACGACTAACAAACCCTTCCTTGATTCCTAAGGTACACATCACGAATTGGCCTCAAGAGAGAGTTCTCAGAGACAGCTACTACAGTTACCAAGCTCATGAACAACAGCTTCCACGGATGGTCTTTCAATGGGAGATTCATGAGTGCATAGCCATGCGATTCTCGCTAGCTTTGTGGCTTCATATTCAAAGAACCTTCCTTGAAGATTTGGATCGATGTAATCATTGAACCTACAAGCTTCTGTTCCAAGCTTAACAAGATGTCTAACCTTCTGTTTCCCGGAGATAATCTGAAACACAAGAATCCCGAAAGCGTAGACATCCGTTTTCTCGGTGAAACGTCCTGTTGTGGTGTATTCTGGAGCGAGATAGCCCATTGCTGCACTGTCTTTGAGTGCAGAGAAGACAATGTCGTTTGTGAGAAGCGTGTGGAGGCCTGAGTTTGAGAGTAGCGGATTGTATCGCTGGTCGATTAGGACTTTCTCCGCTGAGATGTTTTGGTGAACCAATGCTGGTTTGCTTCCTTTGTATGAATGCAGATAAGCAATCCCTAAAACACACACATGAAACGAATAAACAAAAATGAATCAAGAACGCTAACAAATTGGCTTGGCATAAAACTCATACCTTTTGCGATGCCTTTAGCGATGGATACTCTCGTAGACCAGTCAAGAACATGTGCATCGCCATCTTTGAGGTCAAGATAGCTCAGTAGATTTCCATTGGGAGCAAAATCATAGATCAGAAAGCATTCTCCACGGCCTCTTGAACAGCAGAAACCTCTAAGTTTTGCCAAGTTTTCGTGTTTCAGAGACGCCAACATGTTGAGTCCTTTCAAGAACTCAGGTTCTTCGGATTTGCAACTAGTTTTACTGAACCGTTTGATCGCCACAGCCGAACCATCTCTCAAGATTCCTTTGTAAGTCGCAGAGAAGTTGCTTCTTCCAAGCAAATTCACTTCTGAGAAATACTGTGTAGCAGTTTCAACCTCTTCCAGATTAAATCGAAAGCTCTGGATAACTTCTTGAGCAAAGACACTGAGATTCCTATTGTCTGAAAGTGGATCCCAACCACTGGTATATTCAAGACTGGCCAATGGAGAACCATTGTTCTTCCTAAAGCCTCCTCCTACGGTGTTGACACGGGTGTCTGACATTTCATAAGCGGTAGAAAGCTTCTGTTTGCGTCTGCGATAATGGGTGAACAAGAGGATGCTAATAGCAGACAAGGCGATAGTCGAGACAACCAACCCGATAAGGATTGCACCTTGGTGAGATTTTGGAGGAGCATTACAGTTTGTTCCATTACAAGGTAACCGAAGATTAGCTGATTCAGGTATATCCCGGGATGGAAAACCAAACACGGTTGCACCGTACGGCTTAGGTTCATCAGGAGCTGTGCCATTGCAAGATTTCAAAGGTGAAAACTCAGCTCCACATAGCCCCAAGTTGTTCTCAAAAGAAAAACCTTCATTCAATCTCTTCAGTACTGTCAAATTGGTATAACAGAGAAAGAAACATAAACCCCAATGAGAAATACATAAAGCTTGTTTGGAAGATCATAGTGTAAGCCTAATATTTCATAAGAATCACTCTTCCAATCTGATATTTGTAACAATGAAGGAATTAGTTAAATTACCAGGAGGTACATTGCCGGTGAGGGAGTTGTTTCGGATGTCGAGAACTCGAAGCAAAGGAGGGCTAGCTAACTTGCCTGGTACAGAACCAAACAAGTGATTGTAGCTCAAATCTAGCCGCTCTAAAGCACTTAAATCTCCTAAACTCGCAGGTATAGCTCCAGTGAGTTTGTTAGATTGAAGAGCAAGAACACTCAGCTTCCTCAGTGAACCAAGCTCCCTAGGAATGCTTCCTGTCAAATTGTTGTAACAGAGCTGCAAAACTACACAACAACAGAGACCAAATAAAGAATGACTATCAGCTTAGCAAAATCAGAAACAGCTTATGAAGCTTAGCTTTGTCTTAATTAATTCTAGATTTAGAAACCTGGTCCTACTACTAATTCAAGCCTTTTGAAGTAATCAAATCAGTTATCTAAATGAACAAGATTAATCAAGAGAAGTACAAGTTATCTTCAATTCAAGTCCATATTTTGGGACCAGTAAGCCATTAATGGTTCAAAATAAAAGTTTCTATCTTTTAAAGTAGCTTGACTATTCTTCCTTAGAGGAAAATTACAAAAAGAAAAATCCTAACAAAAAGACATGAAAAGGACGTTTTGAAGACAGATCACTAAAGCATTAAATTCCACAAAAAAAAATCATCTAAGATTTCAAATAATTTCAAAAGATTTCAACTACCATAGATAATGAGGTAACTAAAACCCCTAAAACAAGGAGCTCAGATTCCTAGATTCCAAATCTCCATTAAACATTGATTAACCTTGGAACAAGTAATTTGCAGAAACCAAAGATCTAACAATACCAAATTAAGGTTTTGATTAACTAACCTTGCAAGCCTTGCATCTTCCCAATGTTTGAAGGAATCTGACCGGAGAGATTATTAACATTAAGATAAAGATCCGTAAGCTCAGACAAGTTACCAAGTTCTCTAGGAATATCTCCGACAAGAGCATTGTAATGCAAGAACAAACCCGTCAGATGTTTAAGCTTTGCAATGTTCGGAGAGATTTTACCAGACAATCCTTTCCCTTGTAGAGATATGTTAGAAACTCGTCCTTTCCAATCACAACCAACACCTTCAAAGTCTTTACACAGATCTCCGTTAATACTCCATGAAGCTAAGTGTTTGTCTTCTGGGTCAAGCTCTGTTTTAACCTCCAGCAATGTCGTTAACTCGTCGGTGAGTTCTGCTCCTACTTGGTTACTGAAGTAAACGAAGAGAAGTGGAAGAAGAAGAAGATGAAGCAGCATTTGTGTCGCCGTCATTGTTTTGTTTCTAGGGTTTGGTTTTGAGCTTGAAGATTGCAGCTTCAGAAGCTAAAGGAGATGTGAAGAAAGAATTAAAGTTTCAGTTTTTCAAGAAGAGGAGAGAGAAGATAAAAGACACAGAGATGTCGCATGCTTTTGTTCCATTCAGACAAAAGAAAAAAGTGTTTGTGTTTTGGAGATACCAGAGATGGTTTAAAGCTGATCGTTCGATGTTATTGTGTTTGATCTGAGCCGTTGGATGTCTTGGGATGTTTTTAGTTATGGTAAGTTGGTTTGTATGTTATCTTTTCTCGTTGATATTGGTCCACTCTGGCCAAAGGCAATGCATGTTCTCTCTTTTTTTTTTCTTTAGTTTATATATATTTCAAATTCTATTTCTAATCATTAATATATAGTACGAATACATATATTTCATTGTTCTCTTTGATAAACTAAGACCATTTCATTTTGGACACCTTGTCCTTAAGCCTAATAAAACTTCAATTATTTGTCTCAAAATAAAATGGGCAACTAAATGTTGAGCGTTTAGTAAGTCTAGTTTGCCGGAAAATCGGCCAACGGTTTAGTAAAATTGTGGTGGTGAGTATTCTTGATGAACAACTTAGCCAACCGTCTAGTCGGACACAAAATTATATTAATCCACTTTCGTAGCACTAAGTGTTATGTTCAACGAAAATAAAGTTGCAACGATAACATATGTAGGAAAAAATAACAAGATATGCCGATGGATTGGAAGACAATTTGTAAATGTAAGCACAAAGCATCAATAAGAGACTGGACGACGATATTGGGCTTTTACACAATATTGCGTGAAGGGAGAATAATACAATTGGGCTGTAGTAAAATGCTAAAAGGCCCATTAGCGAGTACCCAAAAAACAATAATCAAGTTTCTGCGTCGGAATTGTTATGAGCTACCGATCATGGGATTGAATCATAACAAGTTAACAACGCTAGCTAGTACGAACTATTAAATTTATATAGTTGAAAATGTAAATACGAGATCAATAATTCTCCAAACTGAAAACTCTGAATGTGAAAATTATAAGTTTTACATTGTCAAGAAAATCATTCATAAATAATTGGAGTTTAAAGATATGTTTTACCGTTTCTAAATTCAGTCATTTTTTTTTCACCGTTATTTCGATTTCACTAACAAACTTTTAACACTTTGTGTCACATATCACAAGTTCACAACCCTATATATTATCCAAATAATAGCTACTGGGATTTATGGCTGGTCACGTGAAATTTTTTTGAACAAACTCATGATAAATAGTTTTAGGTTTAAATTTATATATTGTCGTAAATAATCATTTAAAATACACGTTCACTTGTCACTGAATCTTCGAACTGAAACAAAACCCCTCCAATTATTCATGAATGTGAAAACGTGAAAAAAATTTACACTGTCAAGAAAGTCATCGCACGTTACAAAATAATTAAACACCTCAAATGTCTATACAAAAAAACATTATGAAACCAATTTAATGCAACACGACCAAAACCAACGATGGACCTCACCATTCACCGGAGCGTATACTTCACGCGCTATTTAGGGAGTTAAAAAAAGTCCCGCAAAATTCACGCGACGTCTGTCTCTTTCACACTAAGATGACGTGTCACTTAAAACAAGGAGTCAACACTGCCAGGTCAGCGTATAAATCCACATATATGCCAGGTGTCGCCTGTCTGGCGTCAGTGGTTGTCCTTCCGTGTCACCGTAACGTCAGTGTAACAATTGAGACCCACCAATAACCCAAAGAAAATAAAACTTTTAGTGGCCCAATTTTGAGCAGAGAGCTTTCAATCTCAGCTGTACGATTCTGCTTGCTGACTATATAATTTAATTTTATTTGGATTTTTATTAATATTTACATTTTTGTTTTTTAAAAACTTTTTAATTTTGTAAAATGAAATAAATAAATATTTAAAAGTGTTCACATCAATAAACCTTGACAAGAGAGCCGCGCAATTCGCTCCGCGATTGAGACGGGCCCATCCTCCTTATCCTTCCCAGGTTTTGTTTTGTTTTCTTCTCATTTTTCTCAATTTTATTTTCTTTGTTTTTGGATAATAATCAAAATGTATCAAAATCTAAATTTTGGTATCGATAAAAAATTAACTGGTTTAGTGGACTATGCTGACGACGACAAATGAACAGCTATTATTATCCGATATTTTAATGTCTTTTTGGGTTATCGATTTTTTTTTATGTTGAGGGTTTTTTTTTTCTTTCTTTTTTTGGTATCAATGTTAAGTTTTGGTGAGGGTTTTGATGATGAAGAGTAAAATATAAAACGAAATTCTAAATATTCTCATCGGAACCTTCAAATGCGAATTACGGCAAATAGTTATTTTATGGATACACACCAGCACCTCGTATATACCATCCGTGCTCATGTGTCCCTATTTTATTCACCTCTTTTCTCTTTTAATAGTAATCTTAGAAATTTCAACATCCGTTATACACAAAAGTCGAAATTTTTAACAAAATGATTGGAATAGGTGAGGTAGAAATCGTGGTTAGGTTTAGCTACTTGATCCTAAATTTTCTCCTACGTACCATAGTGTACTATTGAGATTTGATAAAATAATCAAATTCCGAACTTGTAGGTTAATTTGTGGACATGTGCATCCACGTAAAATTATAAGAGCATACACAGCGGGACATATGTGTCTTGGATGTTAACATTAAAAAAATCGAAATTAATAGAATAGTAAGTGCCACGTGCTTTGGTCTGAGTGGTTCGGCATTTTTGATAATGAGAAATGAATTTGTTTTCCCCTTTTCCAAAATTGCAACCCATTCACAAACAGCCACGTGGCGATACACTCCTCCGCAACAACGTGTAAACTTACACTCGAATCTCAACTTGTAATCACTGTTTGTATTTTTTTTGAGTTTTTTAATACTAACACCCCTTGCAAACATATAGCGATGTGTATGCTCTAAGATTCTCATACCACCAATTTAATTTCATACCACGACATTGATATAAAAAACTAGCGTTGGTAACACATGATAAATAAATCGCCGGAATCTTTTAAGATCACTCAATATGTGAGACATAAATAACATTGCTCTCATTCCAAAGTTTTTTTGTTAAAAACGGATATGGCCACATCTTCAAACCTAATTTAATGTGTCATCGGCTTCTTCAAAAACATATATGCGACAGATTTTCGAACATGGCCATAATAATTAATAACATGTTTGTTTATAAGTCTTGTGATTAATCTCCAAGTGTTGGAAAACTAAACATGTTTTTAAGTATTATACCGATAAATCTCTTAAAAATATATAGATATTAACTAATTTTATATGTAACGACTAACGAGTTATAATTCATAATATGTCTACTTCTACACAACTGGTTAGACATCTTCTTTTAAATGAATTTTTGTTTTATTTTTCCGTTGAGAAATTCAAATCTAGACACTCTAATTTATAAAGAATGTATTTACGATACTCGATACACACTGACACCTCACACACATATACAAGCTACTACTTTAATATACGTTTTTAAGTTAGAATATGCACAAAACTTCGTATATTTTCTAACGGAAAAATGTGTTAGTTAAGGTCTAGCAAAGATAAGATGGTAATTGGTAATTCACAATCTATATCGACAAAAACAGCTATAGATTTTTTTTTTTTTTTGGTTAGGCAGCTATAGATTTCTTATAAACCTGTTAAAAAAGAGACCATATTAAAAAAGAAAAATAATAATCTCGAAAAACATAAAACATCTTTTGGGTATAACCGCCAATTTAGTGATTACTGGTTAGTGTCTCTGTTAGTTCACGACTATATTCTTATTCATTACTATTCTCTCAAGTGGCCTAAAAACGACAAGAAACAAATACACAATTTCTTTTTTTTTCTGCAATTATAATAAAAAAAAGATTTACAAGAGTGTTTTCAAAACTCGTGGTGGTCCCTAATTAATTGTTTTTTTAAAAAACAAAATAATTCTGAAAAGTGAGGTCCCATACTCAGGAAAAAGAAACAGAGTGAAATGTCATATTTACCCTTCCAACAACGAATAAGATTTCCCGCGCAATGGGGAACAAAAATAAAAACGAGGGTTTGATGACGTCAGATTGAAAACAATCGGACGGCCATTAACGACGCCGCTTGTGTTCTTGTTGTGGGTCCTATTTGTCCACCTCACTTTTAACATCACCCATCTGTCCTCCATTACCCCCCCCCCCCCCCAAAAAAATCCAATTCTCTATGCACTTATACTCTTTTTTTTTCTCTATTTGCACTTTTAGTTTCATTATCAATAAGTTTAATCAATTACCATTAACAACTTAGTGAGTATATTACGAATTCGTTGGTCATTACAATAGTTGATAATCACTAGTAGCTTTGATTGATAACTTAAGACCACTTACATTAAAAAAATTATTGATTTAAGAATTCTGAATCGTCATAAAAACATTATTAAAATCGTCATTTTATATATTTTTATACCATTTTTATCGTTATTTATTATTTTCTCCGTTCAACAAAAACTGTAGTTTTGATATATTTCACACGGAATAACAAAACATTAAATTATACATAAATATTTTAGGCTTTTAACTAAATGCACGCAGATTAAAAATCTATTTTTAAAAAAGTTTAATTATTCATGAACGAGACTGCATAATATACATAATTAAAAATATTAAATTAATCTATAATTTGTATATAAACTTGAAAACAATTTATATTGTGAAACAAAATTGCTCTAAAACATCTTATATTTTGAAATAGAGGAAATAAATATTTAATGATTTAAATTCGGTAAAAAATAACTTTGAGTAATGAATTAAGGATAAATTAAAATTTAGTTTTAAATATTAATTAAAAATCTAAAATAATATTCTTTAAAAACAAAAATAAAATTTCAGAACAATAATTTTTGTGAAACAGAAAAAAATATATTCTTTAGTTTTTTTGATATCGCTTACTACTTTTTTTAACGGTTTTAGGGTCACCAATCATATTTTTAATTTGTTTTGTAGGTCATTTGTTTGTTTTTCTTTTTAGTTTTTACTACCTCTAGATTTAACTATTATTGCTTATTTCAAAAAAGCTCTATTTTGGGATGAATGAACCCAAAAAAATTATATAATTTTATATTTAAACAAATGTACGTAGTACGAATTAAATAATTCTATATATACACCTACTTGACACTCCATGACTCTTCAGACAAGTCGGTCCACTATTTCAAATTTTTTTTCCTCTTCTCTCATTTCAATTATTATTTACTTTTTTCACCCAATAAAAAAAAAACATGCATTCACTTCCGGTGATTCTCGTCCTCACCGTACTTACGGTGTTCCTAACATCACCGGCGCAAGTCATCGGATACCGTCCATATCCACCAAAAACCAACGGCTCCGATCAAATCTTCGACGCTTCAAAAAAATTCGAAGGCTCATCGAATCTCGTCCGCCTCCGTTACCACATGGGTCCAGTCTTAACCAACAACATCACCGTTCACCCAATCTGGTACGGCACGTGGCAAAAATCCCAGAAAAAAATCATCCGTGAGTTCATTAACTCAATCTCAGCCGTTGGATCTAAACGTCCTTCCGTTTCCGGTTGGTGGAAAACCGTACAGCTTTACACTGACCAAACCGGATCTAACATTACCGGTACGGTTCGTCTCGGTGCAGAGAAAAACGACCGGTTTTATTCTCATGGTAAATCACTAACCCGGTTATCGATTCAATCCGTGATAAAATCCGCCGTCGGTTCAAGATCTCGTCCGTTGCCGGTTAATCCCAAAAGCGGTTTATATCTTCTCCTCACCGCCGATGATGTCTACGTACAAGATTTTTGCGGCCAGGTTTGTGGATTTCATTATTTCACATTCCCGTCGATTGTTGGGTTCACGTTACCGTACGCTTGGGTTGGAAACTCGGCGAAGCTTTGTCCCGGAGTTTGTGCTTATCCGTTCGCCGTACCGGAGTATATACCGGGGTTAAAACCGGTTAAATCGCCGAACGGTGATGTTGGAGTAGATGGGATGATAAGTGTGATAGCTCACGAGATTGCTGAGCTGGCGACGAATCCGTTGGTTAATGCTTGGTACGCAGGACCCGACCCGGTAGCTCCGGTTGAGATAGCGGATCTATGTGAGGGTATTTATGGAACAGGAGGTGGTGGTTCGTACACAGGACAGATGTTGAACGATCATAGTGGTGCCACGTATAATGTTAATGGGATCCGACGGCGGTATTTGATCCAGTGGTTATGGAGCCACGTGGTTAGTTACTGTACCGGACCCAATGCGCTTGATTAGTAGTGAAATGGTTTGGTTTATTGTGTTTAATTTTGTATTTTGGGAAGGGTAATTTTGTCTTTTGGAATTTGAGCTCGACAATGTGGAATTATGATGAACAAGAATGGGGTTTGTGTCGATGCATAATTAAAATTAGTTAATGATAGTTAAGGTTCTTGATTATGTTAAAAAGTCACTTATGTTGCTTACCTTTCTTCTTCTTGTTGAAACAAAGCCAATCTTAATGCAAAATATATCTTTGTTATCAAATAACGTTGATCGTATTATTTAATTAGATTGAATTTTGCACGAGTTATTTTCATAAAAGACAAAATTTATCCTTTAATTGATTTTCGTTAATCATTTCGAAATTTAGCTTTTGCTTAATGATTGCAATTATAAATAATGATTTGATGTCAATTATTGAATTTGAAAAGAGTTTTCAAAATGTTTTTGATAAAGACAGTTAGTTTGTCCCGCTAAGCCTTAATTATTTTTGCGGATTATGGCAGAGCATCCTGCAAAAAGACTCGTACAAGTTGCAGAGAAAATCTATTATGGAGTTCAATTTTATTTCATAATATGATAATTTTAATAAACTGATAATTTTTCTGTGGATAAAAATAAAATGTTTCTTAAAGGTTAATAGTAAAATTTATAATTAAGCAGTTATATTCTAAATAAAAACAGACAGTTAAATTATTTACTAATTATAATTAACCTCCAAAAGTTATATTCTAAACCTAAACTATGTATATAATGAGTTTGAAGTCAAGATTATATTAAACTGTTTATGTGTCACAAAAATATGATATTTAGAGTATAGAAAGAATGATGAATCATATAGTTATTGAATCTATAGTTATCTGTAATTAAGTGGATAATTTACTATATGAATCTATAGTTATCTGTAATTAAGTGGATAATTTGATATCTTGAATGTTGAGGTTCAGTTTCACCCTTAGTATGGACTTGTTGGGAGATATTTTCTCTAGATATCAAGTAGGAAAACAAATTCAGAAGACAACAGGATAAATCATGCAGTGTAAGGAGATATTTTTTGAGGAGTGAAGAGGGTAGGTGAAAGATCCAAACCTAACATAATTGTCCTTTTAATGTTTTTTTCTTTGGATTTTTTTTGCTTTAGACAATCAATCATAACTTATTTACCCTGATTTGAGGCAATCTTGTTTACTTTTTTTTTTACTGAGGTAATCATGGTATAGAGGGGTCATTTTCTTTAAACATTTAAATGGTACAAAGAAAAATTCTTTACAATTTACAGAGTAGAAGCACTACATAAACTCTTACCAATGAATAAACTTTTACCAGAGTCAGACAAGTTGTCTGAAACAAATACTACCATTCTCAGTCTAAAACTCAAAGAAATAAACTTTTACCAGAGTCAGACAAGTTGTATGAAACAGTTACCATTCTCAGTCTAAACTCAAAGAAAAAAAAATTAAAATGTATGTATGAAAATTGAGAAAAGAGGAAAAAAAAAAAAAAAAAGGAAATACAAAATGTAAAAGAAAATCGTCAAACAGTTTGTTCATCATAAGAATCCTATTAGAGTTATTTTTTTGATGAAAAAAGAATTCTACTAGTGTAATTGTTATATCTTTAATTATATAGTTTTTTTTGGTTAAAAGTGTTGTTATATCTAGTATATATCACAGCCATTGCTTTAACATGGATCCTTCCTATAGATACGATCATCATAGTTTTGTGAATGTCAAAGTAGTACCCAAATTCTAGTTTTGATCATTGTTGAAGCACATATACTTCAATTTATTTGTTTGATACGTGTGTTGTAGACTTGTAGTAATATACTAATACATGTGTTTTTGAGTACATGAAATCATGAATGCAGACGCGTGTAGTGTAGTCAATATATTCGAATTTGACAGGATACATTGATGGTGTTTGAACAACGACGCTATGTTTGTTACATTGAATCTACTTCATAGCAAAAGTATTCTAAATCAAAAAGAATTTCAAACGTTAATTAGAAGAAAATATCAAGCCCTAATACAAAGGGTCAAAGGGAGTGTAGTGTAGTGTAGCTGGATGTCAATTTAAGTTAGAGAAGAAGAAGTCTACAACTAAAAGTCCGCAAACTTAGAAGAGACTTTGAAAAGAAGCTACTAAAGCTACGTATATAGTTAATATAAACAAAACAAGAGAAACTTTTTATAGAAAAAGATGAGAAGAGAATCAACATCATGATAATCAACATCAAAACAATGATAACAAATGAGCAAATCAATAGCACGGTGTCTTGTTAGTGGGAGCGAAGGACTTAGCGGCGCCTCCTACAAGGGCCCCAATACTTGACTTTCACCTCCAAATTTCGGTGACTCATTATTGTCTTGTGTTTATACATTAGTTATTTCCCTAAAAAGTGTTTACTTTTTGAGAAGAAAAAAGACTTGGACTTGTTCATTTGGTCATGTATTCTTAATTTAGTCCGGTTCACTCGTATAACACACTCTTGTAGCCATGTTTGATCTAGCCTTGGTGTTTATGAATGTAGATATGGTTTGGTAAAAAACTCAAAATTCTTCAAACCGGAACCAAACTGTCGAGCAGTGACTATATTTTATGGCGACGGAACCAAATCTGAATATTGTGCAGCCGAATCGGGCCGAGTAATCCGAATTTTATTACAAATAAAGATGTTTTAATGCATAGTAATTAAAATCTCCTTGTAGTTTATTAATTATTTTTACCCAAAAACAACGGGCACATCCCTAAGATGACTAGGCCAGGTCGGCCCATGAACTTTTTCTCTTGTGTTCATGGCAACAAGACATTACCTACATGGCTTGACTCTTGATGTTTGTTTAGGATAAAATGATAATGGCACCTGAATAACTTCAAACTGATTTTAATTTTACATAACCTGATAACCAGCTCTCTGCATATACAATGACTAAGGTCGGATCAATACACAAACTCTTCTTTTTGGATTGCATAACCAAAGTGAAACCATGTTTAAGAGTATCCACTCTACTTGCAACACACTTACGCTAAACCCTCTGAAACCAATCGCTCTCAATCAAGGGCAAGCTCTAATATCCATGGTTGTATAGTATCACTCTTGACCCTTCATTTTCTCATTCTGTATGTACTTCAAAACTCCATATGCAGTTGTCCCAGCCAGAAATAACCCAACCGATGGAGTGAACACTGGATACACATACTTGACAAATAACTTATCCAACTCTTCGGGGAGGAATCCTGCACGAAGCCAACACAAACACAAGGAGATTTCAATAATTGTGTATCCCCTCAAACCCTCAACATATCTATTCAATTGGAAATGTCTTGTGAAGTCTATTCTAAACTATCATATGTATCAGCAACCATCATCTCAAGGAAAACAGTGGTTTAATCTGTCCTTTATCAATGCAAAATTCTATTCTATACCACAAAAGCAACAAAGGCGAAGTTTGTTTTCGGCTTTGATGGAACATAGAGAAAAATTACAAGAGAATAATCAGGCCTAAGATTGGCATATAAACAACAACTAAAATAACAACAGAAGAAGGGACAATCTACACTATCAATTATAGTCTAAGCACAAATGTGAGTATACACTTAAGTTGTTTTCGAGAGAATCGACTATCGAGAGAAGCTTATCAATTTGTGACCAAACTTCACTCTTCTATGATACTTTCCAAGACTACTAAGAAGAGGCAATGAGAAGTATCCTCTTGATCATTCATTATCTATCTAGCTAAATCTTACATTTAACAATTGGCTCAATTACGAAACTATAATCAGGATATCAAACAATCCGTTACCTGAAGCGGCGAGAATAATCCCTTCGATGAGGATGACGATACCAAGCCCAAGCCAAGTAAGAAGAAACGCGTTCTCATTTCGTCTCTGTTCCTCTGCCTTTGCCGCTCCTTCTTCGTTCATAAACACAGGCTTCTCCACAGGAGCACGCCGATTCACCTCTCTCTTCCCTTTCCCTTTCTTATTTCCCGATGTAGCTGCAGTCAATTTCTTAGCCGGAGAAGAAGACGCCGATGAACCGAATCCTACGCCGGAAGAGCTTGAATTCTTGGGTTGAGCTGGATCCTCTGTTGTCTCGGTTTCGATTTCGGAATTTTGACATTTGATTGCGATTCTAGGGTTTCTGGTAGTGATGAAGAGATGATGAAGATGATGATAGGGTCTCGTGGAGAAGCAACACGAAGAGTGGATTTGTAGCGCCATTTTTAGTTGATTTTGTTATCCACTCATGGATTATTATATTTTACACGAAACGGCATCGCATTTCTCTATAAACTACATAACGTTTTCCGTATGAAGAGAATGGCTTACGACGTTTTAAGGTTAGTCAATGACTCATTTATAGAGTTTTGCTACAACCGATTTAAGCTACGAGTATTGTTCTGTTTATAGTCTAAGCTCATTTAAAAGGTATGTGGTTGCAGGGATTATGCCTTCACCATGAACACTAATGATCTCTTTCCCAGCTAGATCCGTAAGTAGCTCAGCTGGATCTTTGGCTCCTCCATGTTTGAAGAATTTCTCTCTCAGCAATGTTCCTGTGTTCAACGAAAGCGGATCCTCTTCGCATATTGATTGCCATATTGTTGATGCAAAGCATTTGGCGTATAAGTAGCTATAGTACCCTGCACATACACACCAGAGTTCAAGATACATCTGCGGAAAAACGCTTGTATGCATTTATATGTAGATAGCTATATATATACCTGCTCCATAGTTAAGTAGGTGACTGAATCGAATATGCCAATGTGTTCCTTCAACATGGTTCCAGCTCGTGTGTTGCCGTTTCAGTTCAGCCACGAGGTGACTCACGTCTCTTGCTGTCTCCGGTTGTTCCCCGAATAGCATTTGGTCAATCAGTGCATAAAACACCTATCAAACACCATACAGAAACTGATGTTGATCTCTCTAACCCACATTTGATTTTTCTGCATTGAGTATATTTGAGAGGTGAATCAAATTAATCAGACCTGGCGTTGCATTTCAGTTGCTGCAAACATGTTCCTCGCACCTTGTAATGACTTAACCAACTTCTCGGGTATTGTCTCACCGGTTGAGTGATGACGGGCAAATCTCTTCAGGAGGCGATAGTCCCATGCATAGTACCTGAGGGACGTATGAGCACATTCATTATGTACCACTACAAGGTTTTGCAACTCAAAATTGTAAGCGTATTGAAACAAGTGTTACATCTTTGGGAATTATACTCACTCAAACAGATTTGAAGGCATTTCTGCTAAGTCAAGAGCCACCCGGGTACCAGAAAAATGTTGGTAATCCTGCAAAATCCAGAAAATATAGCAATCAGCAAAGCAAAAGCGAAATTTGAGGGGGGACCGTAATTAGCTTCATGTATTGATAAATTTACCGTTCGTGAGAGCAGAGAGTGAAGAGCGTGTCCGAATTCGTGGAACAAAACTTCAACTTCAGAGTGATTAAGCTTCACGACTGATGAATCACGAGCTCGCGAGAAATTGCAAACGAGAGCCAAAACCTGCAATAGGATCAGATCAACAGCCAAAGTGTAAAAATGTGAGATTACTTTTTCCAGGAGTTGGTCTTCATATTTTAGCCATACATTTGAAGAAATGAAGGAAAAAAATTGAAATTTGATCAAGCATACAGGAAGTTGGTATTCTGTCTCAGAAATCTTGCGTCCTCCTCTGATTGCAAAGCTGGCACATCCAGGGTACTTGTCTTTTCTCGAGTACAAGTCAAGGTAAAGATATCCGAGATCACCCTGCAAGAAACAGTTGCATGATTTGCGAACATGAGGGAACAAAGATGGTGTGGGATGAGAAAAAGTGGAGTGAACTATTATTGTGTTTACATCTACAAGACTTATGAAAGGATTATCTTAGTTTGTGAACAACATACCTCGTCCGGGTGATGAAGAGACATTTTAAGAACATCTGGGTTCCAAGATTCACCTGGTGCGAGAGGAACGGTATGAAATGTTGCCCCAAATAATGATTCAACAAGTACTTTTAGGCCTTCAATACACTGAGGCAGAGGAAAATATGATGCTACAACCTGTACAAGAATATTCCAACACAGCATGACAAGAGAAGTCTTAGCAACAGTCCCTCTCGAAGAAGAAAAAGAACCAAAAAGCTCCCAAAAGTATACAAAATGAAGATAGAGAAACCAAAGTGCTTTTGCAGCACAACAAAAAGTAATTCCAATAGAGAAGAAGTAAATAGCAAAAGCAACTTACAGCGGTGTCCACATCATTGACAGAGGATTTCATCATTGAAGTGTAGTAAGTTTCATCCCATGGCTTTAATTCTGCAGATGGGTTACCACATTTCTCTCTTTTAAAGTCTCTAATGGCTATGAATTCCTACGGAGATGGAAACTGGTTATTAGAGCCTTAATTTTCAAACTCAGCCACAAAAGGAACATCATAGAAAGTTCAGCTTTTATGAAAATAGTGTGAAGGTCATCTTACTTCGTCCGCCTTCGGTTTGACTGTCCTGCTCAGTTCTTGTAGGAAGGATGTCACAACCTTTGGGGATTTTGCTAGGTTTGGCTCGACCATAAAGTCAGCATAAGAATTACACCCCATCATCTGAGAACAACATAAGAAAGCTATTACAATAAGTAAGAGCAATCTTTTAAGACACGGAATATACTACAGAGTATCATAAATGAATATGTACAAACCTGGGAAAGCTCATGGCGAGCAGCAATAAGCTTCTCAAGAACTCCGTGATTTGCATGTGGAACAGAGTTCCCTTGAATATATACCATTTTTCTAGCCTGAAAATAGAGATATTAAATTACAGTAGTCAGCAGAATATGGATGTAGGTGTACAATCAATGCAACTTCAAAGCACATTTCCCTATCTTTGAAACAACACCACTCTAGGGTACTTGATTATAAAACGCTTGTAAGTTACCAACGAAAAACTGTTTATTCTCCCACCTCTATCCCTGAGGTTCGGGTGTCAGAAAAAGCAAATAGAAAAATAGGTAAAGTAGGCACCTCTTCATCTGATGTCCACTGCAAAATGGAAGAAAGGGTTCGTGGATCAGTATTTATTCGAAATCCCTTCTGTTTCGACTTATGTGCTGATCTCGTAGATCCTCTTGAGCCTCCTGAAGTGGATCGGTAGGTAGGGTTGACGAGATGGTGCAGATGTCGAGGGATGCGTGATGCTGGAAATATATCAACATGTCCGGGATCATCAGCTATATTTTCACTGAACCTGAATAGTGAATATAGATCATACGGAAGTTAGCACTAACAACACGAAGCACCATTATAATATCAGATTTTCAATAGAATCAAATCTTGTGTATTCATGGGTACTCACTCCCTGCATAACTGAAATATGTTGGTTGTTAAGTTATTCACTTTATCTAGCTTCTCTGCAAAGAATAAAAGGAACTAATAAAAAAAGCATTCAACTTCAGATACACCAGCCTCATCAAAAGGGTAAAAAAATAACAATGGTAAATAACAAACCAGGGTCTAAATGAATGCCACCCCGTTCAAAGTCCATTCGGAGGTGATGTGCGGTCCTACTTGCTTCTTTGGTAAGCAAGTTAGAATCTTGCTCTGCTTTTTTCACCGCAGCATACAAAGTATGGTTCGTGTTAAGATGCTGACCATAAGCAACCCAGAAAAGGTTAAGAAATTGCCAAGAATAAACATAGACTCAACTGTGTCTACTCTACTGACATGACAAGAGTCTAGAGAGGTTATATCCTCAATATGATAAGATGCCTCAAGTTTTCTACGGATGAACGAAAAAATAAGTTGAATTTGCAGATCTTTTCGGACAGCTGCACATTCATGTCTAAACAATAAAAATGTTCAAAGATGAAGGAATTCTCATCTATGTCTTCATTGTAGCATTCCAAGATTCAAACACGTAAACCGAAGAAAGAAAAACCAAAGCTGAGCAAATTGTTGGTCACCTCACATGTAGATAATCATTCATTTTAATTGCTGCTTTATTCGCCTCCTCAACAAATTCCCTATCATATTTATAGATCAAAGTAAACAAGTTAAAACAAAAATATCAACAGAACATAATAAACCAAGTATTGAAAGCTCAGAACTAGAAAAAGAAAAGAGACCTGTCAGGATGAGTTTGTCTACAGAGTTCAGCAGAGTCAACAACACAACAAACCTACAAAAATTCGGATTCAGAAAACAGGAATCACTACAAGCACCAAAAAGAGCTAGTAAAACAAGAACACTAACTGCAGCAAGAACTTACAGTGTCTGAAATCTCATCCATGGCTTTAATAATCTCTGGAGACGAAGGCATTCCTGATATGTAGCTCACCAACTCACCAGACCTAAGAAAATGGTTCCAGAATCATTTCTTCAATTAACCAAATTGCATCACAACACAGCACAAAAACTTTAATAACCCCAATAGGGATTTCTAATGAAGCAGACACATCATGATTCAATGGCTATGTTGACAAAGCACACATAGACTGATACGATAAAAATCATACCTTTCAATGGCATCAGCAACGAATCTCTGAAACCCTTTAGCCGTTTTAAGATGATCGAAACCGTAGAGACCGGTGGCGTCTCCAGCTTCTCCACTCCGGAAATTTCGGATTAACCATCGGGTCGAATTGATATGCGGCTGCAATCGCCGCGTCAGCTTCCACATTGCTCTGCTTCGTCTTGCGGCTTGTGACGGAGGAGGACCTCTGAGTTTTAAACGCTCAGGGTTTTAGTAGGGGACAAAGCGATGTGCTGCCGTTTTGAAACATGGAAAACGGCATAACGTTTGAGAGGCGAACTAAAAAACAGTGGAATGGGCTATTGTGTGAATTGATGTGTCGTTTTTTGCAGCAGAAGTCAAAAACACATATATTTGACGAAGAAGATTGAAATTGTTGATTTTCAAGTCCAAACATTTACACGATTTTTTTGTTCAGCACCAACATGAAGATCATTCTACATTTGGGTCTTAAACCAAACTCGAAGATTCAAACAATTTTTGGGTTTTGTTTTGGTTTGCTATTCCGTGAAAATCTCAAACGGATAATGCATACAAGGTGTTCGACAGAATTCCCCAGTGCTCAAAATTGTTTTTTTTTCCTTCTTTATCAACCTTTTTCACGTGGCTCTCACGTGATAAAAGCCAGTTGCTGTTATTTCCTATACTCTGATAAATTTCTCTCTGAAGCAAAAGAAACCTTGGAGAACAAGAAAGCGCAAGAAACTTGAGAATCGTTACTATGAGTTCTTCTTTCCTGGAAGATGTTGAGTTCATAAAACTCCTCGTAAAATCTAGAGAAGCATGCGCTAAAGGAAATTACATCAAGGCCTTGGAGATAACTGAAGATTTGATTTTTGTCCACAAGGAAGACAAGGACTCATGGTTTCTTCATATCCAAGAAGGTCAAATGTTCTTGAAACTAGAGGGCAACACAGAGAACCCGGACGTGGGTTTCGCCTACTTGTTGGCTTCTGTAGAATGCTTTTCTCAAGATGTGATGTTATCACGACCTTGTGCAATGGGATTCTACAATTTGGCCAAACAGCTTGGGTCAGTATCGTATTACAAGAAATGCGTGGAGAAATCAAAACAAGCATTAGCAGTTACTTACCCAGAAAACACGAGTCCTGTTGCTCGATCGATGTTGCAAGAGCTGAAAAAAGATTTGGGGAAAGAATTCAAGACTTTAATCAGAGATGCAGAGCGCAAGATCGCTGGAGCCAAGACTTCTCCTTTAAGCTCGGAGCTTAAAGTTTGGGAGCCAAAGAAAAGTTTAGACCTGATTAAGAACGAGATTCAGGAATTGAGGAAGTATTGGATGGGATTGGATATTAAGATCAAAAGGGACTTTATGAAAGTAAGCATTGCAAAGCTTAAAAGTTTTGTTGAGGGAGTATATTACAGAGAGGGACGAGATGTTTTGGAGAAAGTTCTCACTTCTGCCAGGGAAGATAGAAAATGGACATTCTGGATGTGTAAGACTAAATGTTTGAAGAAGTTTTCTAGTGCCGAAGAATGTAAGAATCATCTTGAACAACAACATGCTGCAGATTTTAAAAATGCTTCGAAAAAGGATTTGGTCCAGAGGATAGGAAAGGACTGGGCTCGTAAGATATCAGTTGGAGCTTGGGAACCAGTGGATGCAGTAGCTGCCGTTGAAATGATGAAGAATCGGCTAGCAGATGTGAAAGCGTTTGCACCTAAGAATGGATGGTCAAAAGAATGGCCTTTAGCTGCGGATGAAGATCGCAGTAAGTTACTCAAGGAAATCAAATTGCTCCTTGTGTCATATTGTGACCATAAAATTCTCCCTTCTAGTATTCGAGAGTGGCTGATGCGTTTTCCGGCTCAATATCTTGGAAAACTTGAAGTTTCCGAACAGAGTCTTATCGATTCTCACCTGGTGGAAACACCTCAGAGTATCTGTTTTCTGGAAAGTCATGAACTCAATCAAATCCTAGACTTTCTAAAAACCATCAAGTGTAAAAGGAATGATGGTACAGATCTAATTTGCAGAGCAGTGGACAGTTTTTTGGATCATACTCGAGTCAAAGAAAAGATCGACTTTGACCCTCAGTTTTCATTTCTGCTTCTGGATAGAAGACTTCTAAAATGCAAAGATGTTCCATTCGATGATGAAGGGATAATCAATGTTTTTGATCCCAATGTTCACTACGCCAAAGCACCAGCTCAGGGAGATGATATCATATCCTGGTTAACTGACTACAATTCAGTAGATAAGATCTTTCCCAGACCTATCAGGGAACACAATTTTGGTATCTGGGTGGCTGTTCTGAAAGCTGTTCAGTTCACATTTAGGTCTTTGGGAACCAAATATGCAAAGAAATTTCTGGTCTTAGATTATGATGCAGCTCTTACTGTCGTTGAGAACTTGTGTATGAGTGAAGATGAAAGGAGAAAGAATCTTCAGGAAGATCAGTGGAATAGATACGCATCTCTTCTATGTGATAGCTGTGAAGAGAGACTCTCCGAAAGTTCACTCACTACAAAATTTTTCTTGTGGGCAGTACGAGATGTTCTCGAAGGAGCATCGCATCCGACATTTGATTTCCCCGATTTGGAAGATTGCATGAATCTTATACGTCAGTGTAAAAGTCTCAGTGATGATATAGCGTTGAAGTCCATACACCATCTGAAATCAGTGGTCACCCACAAGGTTGGTTCATGATGTTAATATTCATTAACAACATAATAACATAGAATAGCCCATCTAAAAATATCTTAATGACTTGCAGGTTCTACTAATCGATTCAAAGATTTTGCTGATTGACAATTCAAGGATTACTTTGCTAAACAACCTCATCAGGCTTTCTGCTTTTGACAACCGCACTTATATCCTTCAACTGCTGAAACCGTTCTTGCTGGTTGGTCTTAAACTTCTGTTGTATACAGAGTTCTCTTGTTTTCCATCTGATTTGGCCATTGAATTGTTTCTTATATTATGTATCTTCTAATGTAGAGTGAAATTGTGAATATGGAATCCAAAGCCAAGTCAGATGCAGCAGAAGCTTATCTTTTACTCGAGGAGGAGAAGACGTCACGGTCAAAAAAGAAGAAAAATAAAAGCAATAAGGTCTTTCAAGTTCTAAATCCTCTATTTGCTTCTCTGACGTTTCGTCAATCGGTTGTAAGAATGAATTTCTTCGTGGCGTAACAGAGAAATTCAACGAGCATGTCTAGTCCCCTTGATAAGACTGTTGACCAGTAAGTACCTCAACAGTCTTTTTCTCATGTTGATAGATGTTTTTGTGTTTTCTCTGAGCAAAATGTGTTCGTCTTACATGTCCAGTGAACCTTCTGTCAATCTTGAACCGAGAGCTTCATCTCCATCACTAAAAATTGTGAAAGAAGATTCGATGGAACCAGAAGGTGCTCTTGCAAGTGAGAGGGGTCGATTGGAAATTTCATCCAACACTGGAATTCAAGAGGAAGCTACTAAAGATGATCCTGGTTGTTTAAAGCTTCTAAATTGACCAATAATTTGAATTATTTTGTTTTGGGATGCATAATTCTTATTTTTTTCATTCGCCATCTTCAAGATATGCGAAACATGCCTGGAGAAGATTTACTGTCAGAAAATTTGGAGTCAGCACCTGGAGAAGCTGCAGCCAGATACAATTCAGCTCTTGACATGACGTTGAAGGTGAAGCAGTTACCAACAAAAATATGATTCAGCTCATTCTGTATCTCTTTACTTCCTTATTCTCGTTGATATCACAAAAACATATGGTATTGCAGGCCCTCCTGAACATTAAGATTCTCAAAGAAGATTTGATGCACAATATGCAACAATTTCAACACCACTTGGAAGAACAAGTTCCTTCTGCGCTACAAAATTTATTTACTGCTTTTGTGTCAGAGGTCATTAAAAATGAGGGAGTCTATAGTTGTCTCTTGAGCCACTTACTTGTTTCCGTAGAAGAAATGTTTTCCATGGTTTATGTGGAGAAGGTAACCTTCTATGCATGATGTCTTTCTTTTTCTTTTTGTCAATAATTGTTATTTTAATGATACTCTATCTTATACTCTTTTCAGTTGAGTGATGCTGATGCTGCTGAGGTAGTTGTAGCCATCTTTGAGTTTTGGCATTGCTGGAAATATCGAGAAAGAGAAAGTTTGGTAACTCGCCTTTTCACCTTGGAGGAAAATGAAAGAATGAGTTGTATAAATTGCAGAAGTAAGCCAAATTATCCAGAGCAACGTTCTCATGGCATTGTTGTAGCTGCGGAATCAATCAGAGACCTGAAGGTATGTTTCATTTATTTTCCTCCTTTTCTTTCCTACAGAAACCAGTACTTCCCCTTATAAAGCTGTTCTGTGCTTATATATATGCAGTGTGCTTTGGGAGATATAAAGTTTGTGGATATACTCAAAGTGACCCGCATGGAATATATAATGTTATGTGACATTAAATCAGGAGGATGTGGAAGGACGAATATTGTTTATCATATTATAAGTAGATGCCCGCCTATCTTCACAATCGGTAAGGTTTGACAACCATGATTGTGATCTTATATACTCATTGCATTTATTTTGCTGATGATAAAACAATGTTGGTGTTTTGTGGTTTGTAATATTAGTGTTAGAATGGGAGAAAAATGAAACTGAAAAAGAAGTATCTGAAACAACAAAGGCTTTGGAATGGGAGATAGATATCAGCAGAATGTACGACGGCTTAGAGCCTAACACTAACTACCGACTTGTGTCAATGGTAATAATCTGAAACAGGGTCTCACAAATGTTTGTCCTATCGTTCTTCTGTATTTCTTGGTTACAGTCTCAGAATATCTGGGATTTGATGCAGGTTGGTTGCAGTGAAGTAGAAGAAGAACACATTTGCATAGCTTATGAAAAGAACCAATGGGTCAATCTTGGACGTGAGTCTTTAGTAGGAGAGGTAAGATAAAACCGTTGATTTCGCCTTCCCTGAGTTGAATTGTGAATTTAGATATAGGCCAGACATTGTTGATGTATGTGTTGTGATGTCATAGGATATTGGTAACTGGAAGAGTGTGGTCAAGTTCTGTGGAGAAAAGAAGGTTCGACCAGAGATTCTGTTTTATGAAGCTGCGTGATCGATGGCCTAACAAGTGTATCAATAAGGAGAAACCTAGCAATGTAGTATAAAACAGTGACATGTTCCAATTCAATATAACTTGTGTTCTCTCTTGTATAATATGATTTGTTTTGGAAACTACATTTGTTCATCATCTACGCAATGCCCTTATCATGTACACAACAAGCAAACGAGAGCCTTCTGCATAAATACTAAAAGTGACTTTTTAGTTTTTAGTATGATTTTGATGCCAGCAGTGGAATCTACTTAACAAAAGTAGACTATTCTAGTAAGGAACAGGAGAAATTCACATGGTTGTCTCTGTTTTCCTTTACTAATGAAATAAATTTTCTTTTTGTAATTATTCGTTTTTTGAATATAATTTCTTTGACAAATTATTTAATAAACATAAGTATATGAGATTATGAGTTCTATGTCATACAATTTGGCTTAACTTAAAATAACTCTAACATGATACAATATTATATAGTAGATACAAGAAATTTTTGACGTGAAGAAAACAAAAGAAGAAACATGCACATGCAAGGAGTAGTAATAATTCATCAATAATAATTATAATTTTAATAACTTGTTTTTTTTTTTTTTTTTTAATTCGTTAGCTAGTAACGTAGATTCGTAATAAGCGCCAAAGTATTACTAGTCGTCCTTGCAAGTTCTTCAACAACCTTATTTACCTTCTTCTTCGTTTCTTTATTCACTTTCACCTCCTCGAACCCGTCCGTACAAGTCCCTTCGTCGGTCAACGCCGAGCTCACCCACGTCCTAATGTTCGTAATATGCTCAGCCACCGAGCCACCATCTTGTAGAGTCTTTATCTCCGCGATCGCTTGCTTGAGCTCAATAATTGTGTCCTTCATCTCCTCGAGGCAGTCCTTGAGGATAAGAGTCTCCGGTAACATTTTATCCTTCCGTCCGGCCGTGGATTTCTGAGACTTTTTGAGAAGTTTAGAGATAACGGACGTTGCTTCTTTTGCGGATTTCACGTTGAGGTTAAGCGCGGTGGTGCATAGCTTGATGGGGTCGGATTTGATATTCGATGAGTAGGAGGATAAGGACTTGTAGCATTTGTCGGGGTATGTTGTCGAATTGCAAGCCGTTTTCACGAACGTTTTGTGGTTTTGGGAGTAGGATGATGGACTGGCTGATGTTTTCTGGATGTTTGTCGATGCGAAGAAAACAAAGACGAGCGTTAGAGAGTAGAGGACTTGCGACATGTTGATTTTGGCAGCTTCCAATTTAGGGTGTTAACAAATTTTGCAGCTGGGACGACTTGTGAAACTATGTTGTAACTTGTGTGTACGTATTATATATATATACAACACACATGTACATTTTGTTTTTAAATTGAATGAAGGAACTGAATAGATAGATCTCTTTCCTTTTTTTAACTTGAGAATATGGTTAAATATTATATCGATCTAGATGTATCAAGTTTTTTTATAAACAACAAAATCGATTATGTGAATGTGTACGTAACTTGTTTTTTCAAAAATGGTCAAGAAATCGTATAATATTATATGGTCAACTCTCAACTGTTCGAATTAGAAATTCCCAATATGAACGGTTTTTTTTATACAACGGTAAAGATGATTCCGTTGTGCTTATGGTTAATTAGTGTGCACTCAACAAGGCCATTAATATAATTAAGGGCCAATTATTATTAGATCCGCATTCATTGATAAATTTGACTTCGCCATTTGGAGTCTGCAAGGGACTAACGATCTCATTAACTCCTCTCATTTACATCTAATTGTGAATTAAGTTATGATAGATGCCAATATAATTTTCACCATTTTAATTTTGCTATAAACTAACTCATAACCATCTGAAACAATATATTTGTTGATCTTATGCATCTGTAAAATTAAAAGGTAAAACATAGACCCTAAATTATATGACTGTTAAAAAAAAATCGGTCGGACTCTATTCCAATATTCTAGTTAACAAAACAAAAAACAATCAGGCTTTAAATGCATGGTTTAGCCACTATCATCATTAGTGTAGTTGTTTTATTTGTTCGACAAGAACACACTCCTTAGGGTGTCTGAAAAGTGATAAAAAAAATCCCGAAATATAATGTATAGTGTGAAAAGAGAAAATAAATATATAGATAAGTATAGGAAGTCTTAAATAGTCTTCAAATTAAACTACAATATAACATTATTACAAGTTTATTCCGCCATTCAAGCCTAAGGTAATGTAAGGTACGTGACACGTGATGTGATGAACATGGATTAGATCTCCTCTTTTGGAGGAATAACTCATTCATAATCGATCATATGTTATTGCAAATGCAATTTATTTACTACTAAAAAAAAAAAAAAATTATTTACTACTTACTTACAAAGTACTATATATCTGCTTACTTCTTTAATTGAGACTCACCTATCACCATTTGTAACGTATTATTAACTATTAAGGATGCGTAACATTATTATCGCTAATTTTTAATTGACATTTCAATAATGCTATATATATTACAAAGATACGAACTTGAGTTCAATCCAATAGTTGTAACAAGGAGATTTCAGCTTTCTAGCTGACTGTGGATCATGATACAATTATAGACCGTCGCAATAATATTCACTTAGTAACCAAAGATCATGTGATAAGTACGGCTTCCGCATAAGAACCCTGATTATTATAGAAAACTATTATACTAATTTCTGAATAAATTGAAAAAACGTACACGATCAAGGAATATATGAGGAGATAATTGGCAAGGGAGCATCAACATGGGCCACTTGTTGTTCTTGGCTGGAAAACAACATGACTCTGAGTCTCATACTACACTCTTTAATTATAACATTTATCGTCGTCTAATATTTGCTTAATTTTATATTGCTTCATGTAGTTACCGGCCGACGAATTATTTTATTTTCTATATGAATTGAATCGTTAAGCATGAGAACGTAACTATTGGATAACAATGTAAACCCACAACGGTAACGGCTGCGTTTGTCAGTACGAATCACAAAGTTGGTGAAGTAAAAGACGGTAAACTTTACATACATCTCTTATATTCCGATGAGGATTTTTTGGTGCATCTCTCAATGAATAATGTGTTTTTGAATGATTAATTAAAAAGTTTAAGTAATGTATAACACTAATCATTTGGTGGAGAAAACAACGGTTCAAAACTTACAAATTCTAAGTTTTCTTCTTCATGTAAGAGAAGCACACACGACAATGCCAAAATTTCATGTTCCTCTATGCTGCTTTCGTAGGCGGAGACATATTATTGACAAGGGACCCCGTAACGATGATCACTAATATCTGCACAACCGCTCCTGCATTCAACAAAAAACCCGAATGATCCATAATCCCGGAATATGCAACTCAAGCTTGCAAGTAAGTGTACTGTAGACAATAAAGAAACCGAAGAGAATCTTCAGGAAGTTTTACCTAATTGGGCACAAATGAAACCTGCGAGCTCAAGCTTCGCGGTTGTTCCAGTGCTATTCCGTTCCTACAACATTTATTGAGAGTCAGGTGATAGTATCAACGTCAAGCTTAATTTTCATACTTTGTGATACCATTATCAACCGTTTTTTCATGACTAGAAAAGTATAATCCTTTACTGCTTTAAATCATTACCTGATCCTTTACATGTATTTCTAACTAATAAAAGCTTATCAGCTAAAGGACTAATGAGGCCGACAAAAAATGGCAGTGTATGTAAATATATAACACAAGAGTAAAGTTTGTTGAAGTTAGTCGATTTACCTCCATTGTTAATCTGCTCCTAACAGCACAAAACACCGAAAGAACCATAACAATAGTTGATGCAGCCGTGTAGAGCCTCAAAAGATTTACTCTGCTGCGTCTACAACCTTTTTCAACAGAGACAACACACATATATAAAGAAACCAAAACAAAAGGATACAACTTTCCGTTATGCGTAACCGGCAAAACAACAAAGAAGAGAGAATTTAACCTAATTCTCCTATGAATGAAGATACTAAGCCAGCAGCAGCAGCTGCAATTGCAAGGGTGTTCCTCTCATCCTTTTTAGTTGTTGTCAGAAACGCACACGATAATCCGATTATATAAATCGCAGCCTGCAAGCAAAAACCTGAAAGATTTATGCTAAAAAAATAGATGCATCTCCCAGATAACAATCTCAAACTCTTTAAACTAATGCTACACAACTTCAAGAACACTACAATCTCAATGAGAACAAAGCAACGAATGTGATATTGCAATTGTGAGAACCTGATCACATAAACTACTTCTATGATCAATTCAGTGCTCAAGGATGTAACATTTTTGCAATGCATCACAAAATCAAATTCTAGACCAATCAATCCAAACTCAAAGAGATTCAATATCTAACATAAGGAAGTACCTGAAGAAAGATCAAAGGACGGAGACGAGATTTTTCTTTAGTGACCTTCGTGTAACCTAAAACAAAACGAAGCACATGGATCAAGAAGAAATCGAGATTAAGGATCTGGAGACAGAGGAGAGTTGGGATTTTGGAAACTCACGAGAGTCAACGACCATGCGGTATGAGAAATCGGATCCATCGGTACCACTGGGTCTACCCGCCGTCGGCTTCCTCTGCTGCATCTTCGCCGGCGAAATTGGAAGTACAGTACGTTTGGGTTTGATCGGAGATTGAAAGAGAGGTGTTTTTAGGGTAACGTCGACCAAGGTTATTAGATTTTTGTTATTTTTGTTTTTCGATAGGATTGAGCATTCAACCGAACTAAACCGTACCAAACCAAAACTAAACCGAGCTAAATATACTTATATCGGACAGAGTTTTAGCTAAAGATTACCGGGCCATTTTTTAGAAAAGTGTACTTACTTTTATCAACTTTTGGATATTTCAAATTTTGATAAACTGGTATAACAAAATTTAGTCAAATTGTTTTAAAAAATGTTAGTCAAATTGGTATAACAAATTTTAGTCAAATTGGTATTACAAATTTTAGTCAAATTTTTTTGGATATTTTTAATTTTGATAAATTGGTATAACAAATACTCCCTCCATTTCAGTTTAGTTGTCGTTTTAGGATTTAAATTTTGTTTCGTAATAGTTGTCGTTTGAAGTTTTCAATGCAGATATTTGGTAAACATTCCAGTTTTATCTCTACTATTTTAATGTGTTGGCCAATGAACAAATTATAAAATATAATAATAAAGGGTAAAACAGAAAATTTAATGATTTTTTAATTTGTGTGAGAAAATCTTAAACGACATATAATTCGAAACGGAGGGAGTATTAGATATTCAGTAGCAATATATTTAAAATGAACATCGAATGACAATGGGTTATATATATTCTATTAAAATTCATGAAGTCACCCATTGGTCTACATTTGATGCCCATTTTGATCAACAAACAACAAATTATTTTTCTTGTTAGTTTATGTCTTTGTGGATACCATATTTAATTTTTTATATACACATACACATATGCTTCTTCTTATCATATGATATGACTAATTACCTTACCTTTATATATTTTGGGTCGAACAATGTTGTTAATTACTTTATTCTGGATTTTAGAAAAAAAAGAACAAAAATCGAAAACCAAATCACAATTAAGTGAAATGATAAGCGAATGTTGCGGGGGGATAATAATGGATAAAGCACAACTAAGAGCTTATCAATTATTTCTTTTTAAACCTCATGTGTCTTCCAGATCCAATCCAAACCATAGTTTCCATTCCATGTGCCTCTTGACATTCACACAACTACGTACAAACTAATTAATGTCTAATGTCTTTCCTAGTGTATTTCTAATTTCTTTAAAGATATATATATTTTTGCTAACCATCTTTAAAGAGATAACAGATGTACGAGAAAGGTGGTGATTGCGTGAGAGTGTGTACATGAATACTCGAGGGATCACATGAGACATTTTTTACGTATTAATTAGAGAAGACGAACATGCCATCTTTCGATCCACAAGTTGAATATTGTTCATAACAAATTATATAATTATTCAAAATGCATATAGTATATAAATTATATTCTGAAACTACTAAATTTATACTGTGATAAATACCAAGAATTTATAGCACCATAATATTATAGACTATATATATATGTGTGTGATATAGGTTCTATATAGACTAAAAAGCCGTTTGTGTGGGATAAAGCTAAAAAAGATAGAAAGTTATTTGTACTAATTACATGGCATTTAAAAAGTTTACACTAAATTAACTAGGTCTTGGTGATAATGTAGACAAATAAAAATGTTAACAGGTATTGCATTTAATTTTGATTTGAATCCAATAGTTAATTATGTTTGTTGAAAATATTAATAGCACGTGAAGTGAAGGATTTACATCAGAAGTGCCAGGATATGAAGCAAAAAAATGGTATGGCAACTAAGCGTTTGCTTATGACTTTTAACTTCTTGGATTCTATATACATTCAATGTAATAATCATATTTAATAACTTCAAGTGAAGAATTTAATTGTTGTCCGGTCTTCTTCTTTTTTTTTTTTGTTAAATTAAGAATAAGTTACCCAATATATCTAGCTACCACAAGAAATCTTAACCCTAAATTGTAACGATTAATCTCAAACACAATGTTTCAATTACATAAAGAGATGATAATTGTCAAAACAAAAAAAAGGCTAAATTCTAGTTAAGGATTGGCAATACATAACTACATAAGGGAACCCAAACATACTAATATCCTAACTATCTAAGGCAATGATTATAAAATTAACAAGAACACTAAACCCTATTAAAGGATTGGTGAACCCCGACCAATCAATGTACAATAGGTAATCCATAAGCGACACATTTAGTCCAACAACCATTACCATGTAGTATAGTTTTTCTAAATTTATTATATTTCTGTTTATTTAATTGAAGTACTTCTAATTTCATCCAAATATTATAACATACGAGATTTGAACCGAGGACTTTAATTTCATCGAGGAATAACTAACTAGCCAAATTTACTAGTATTGCATTAACCTCTATGGAGACACTGTCATGCAGCTAAACCGAACGCTGCAGGGCGTGTCTTCAAAAGCTGGTGTCGGGAGGAAAAGATGTACCGACTTCGACGCTCAGACGTGGCTAAGCACCGCGCTTACAAACACGGAGACTTGCCGACGCGGCTCCTCCGATCTCAACGTCTCAGATTTCATCACACCCATTGTTTCAAACACAAAAATCTCTCACCTCATCAGAAACTGCTTAGCCGTCAACGGAGCTTTCTTGACCGCCAGAAAAAACGACAGCACCACCGGTGATGCAAGGGGTTTCCCGACGTGGGTTTCCGGTAAAGAGAGGAGACTTCTGCAATTGCAATCAGTGCGTGCCAATCTCCTGGTGGCCAAAGATGGGTCGGGACATTTCAAGACGGTGCAAGCGGCTATTGACGTGGCTGGCCGTAGAAAGGTGACGTCAGGGAGGTTCGTGATATATGTAAAACGAGGGATATATCAAGAAAACATAAATGTGCTTCTAAATAACGATAACATAATGTTGGTCGGAGATGGAATGAGATTCACCATTATCACCGGTGGTCGAAGTGTTAAAGGAGGTTACACCACTTACAGTTCCGCCACTGCCGGTAAATTTATTAATACATTGTATTGATTAAAAAAAAAAATTCTCATTGATAAAATAGATTTTACTTTTCCGTACAATTTGAGTTTTTCAATCGATCAGATTCATGGTGGAGACGTCCAATTTAAATCATTCATTGGAAACGTCATCAATTACTATCACTATCTAAAAATAAAAATTTGGAAATAAACGTAACAGTTATCAATTGAGATTTTATTTACCTCATTAGAACAATATTGACTATATACGCTGTGATATATCTAGGTATCGAGGGACTTCATTTCATAGCTAAAGGCATAGCGTTCCGGAACACGGCGGGTCCGGCCAAGGGACAGGCCGTGGCACTACGGTCATCCTCGGACCTCTCAGTCTTCTATAGATGCTCAATCGAAGGATACCAAGACACACTGATGGTCCATTCGCAACGCCAGTTTTACCGTGAGTGCTACATTTACGGAACCGTCGATTTTATCTTCGGAAACGCAGCCGTAGTTTTTCAAAACTGTCTCATCCTCCCTCGTCGGCCACTCAAAGGTCAAGCCAATGTAATAACCGCGCAAGGTCGTACTGATCTATTTCAGAACACAGGGATCTCTATCCATAACTCAATAATCTTACCGGCTCCTGATCTAAAACCGGTGGTCCGTAGCGTTAAAACGTATATGGGCCGACCTTGGATGAAGTACTCGCGTACCGTGGTTCTTAAGACGTATATAGATAGTGTTGTAAGTCCGGTCGGGTGGTCTCCGTGGACTAAAGGTTCGACGTATGGTCTCGACACGCTGTTCTATGCGGAATATAAGAATATTGGACCGGCTTCATCCACGAGGTGGCGAGTCCGTTGGAAAGGGTTTCATGTCTTGAGTAAATCCTCCGATGCATCTGCTTTCACTGTTGGAAAATTCATAGCTGGTACTGCGTGGCTCCCAAGCACTGGCATACCTTTCACTTTAGAACTCTAGAGGCCGTCTTTGGTTTTTCATGCTTTAATTACAATGATGTCAAATTTTGCACTTATATAATTCATTATTACAAATCATGTCCTATTTCACTCTCATTTGACTGAAAGTGGAGAGGCGGGTATAAAAGACTCGAAACTGTTGGAAATTGAACTGTTAAAGCATATTTTGAAATGAACGTGGCTAATATCAGTTCTCATAAATTATATATACGGATCGGAAGAGTATATGCATGTGTCAAACAGAGTGAGGGAAATATTTTCAGTAAGAGAAGCTTGAAGGAAAAAAAAAAGGATCAATGAAGATATTTGGATTTGGAAGATAGATTTGGAAATAATGCCTCTTTTGATTCCTGCCGAAACCAAAGTTTAGCATGTGTATACGAATCTTCCGTAGTAATTTACACTTTCATTACCATCTACTTCACCACCTCTAAAGTCAACTCATGTTGACCATCCCTCTCCGATCGAAAATTTACATGAAGCTTGGAAATAATGGGGTAGTAAAGATACGGTTAATATGAAAAATTTATCCTAATGCAATTAGAAATTTTACTACGTTAAAAGTAAGAGACATGAATTGTTATGTGAAAATAAATACAAAATAAGGTGTCGGTCTCTATTAGTGAGCAAGAGTCTACTTGGTGGAACATGAATCCATGCGGTGGAAGAGTCTGGTTCCTAGGTTGTATTATAAATCAAGGAAGAAATCAAGAGGAAAAAAATAAGGTTTCTAGTCTTTAGGTCTAAGTTAAGAGGCGTATGTATTTCGTGAAATGTTGAAAATTGGTTAGTGTCGTCCTAAAAAGTGTCTTCGTATCAAAAAATCCTAATTAAGCAAGATCATATTGTAAGATCGTAGATACGTAGCCAAATCTCAAGTTGTGTGCGCGTTTCTTTTCTTTGTTTTTACGGTGATTTCGAGTGTGCATGGACATTCAAGGGATATTAACTGCTCTTCTATTTGCTGAAAACACAAAAACAAGTGCATATATTTTTTGAATTCTCACGAATCCAAAATGTCGACACTCAAAGGATCACATGGGTCACTTTTATATTATTTGTAAGTATTAATTAGAGAAGAAGACTAACATGCCATTTTTCTCGACAAGTTGAATGTTCATATTTACTTCAATTAGAGAAGACTAACATGCCACTAAATTTCTGTTTTCAATAGATAAAAACATATTTAATCATTTGTGTGACAAGAATTAATTTGTAGAGTATTTTACTAGTAGGTATAAGTTAAAGGCTAAATAAATGGCAGCTCACATAGAGAACACGTGATATTAGAAGCGAAATCAAGAATTGAATGTTGCATAAAAATGAAGAAGAACATAGGAATTTAAACCATGGTAAATCCTCTGGAATCATCAGAGTCTTCAACTCTTCACTTCCTTATTGAAACCTTCTTTTTCACTCAGAGGCTTCCAAAAGCTATAATTGAACCCCAAGTCCTCCAAACCTGTTTCAACTCCGGTTAAGATGTGAATGGTATCACACATTCTCAACTGATAGTTTAAACAAAGAAAAATGTTAACAGGTTTTGCATTAATTAATGTAGATTCGAATGTAATAGTTAATTATGTAATTGGTTGACGATATAAATAGCATGTGAAGTGAAGGATTCACAGCAGGAGAGAAGAAAAATGGTATGAACAACTAATTAGCGTTTCTTTATGACTTATAACTTCTTGGATTCTAGATAGGATATGTTAATAATCATATTTAATACCTTCAAAGTGACGATATTTAATTGTCGGATTTTTTTAGTTTCATTTTTAAGTGGTCAAGATCTCGTACGGCGTTTTTCTAGGAAAAGTATAATTGTTTAAGAACTAGTTTCTATTAGCTTACTGATTTTACAATAATTTTTCTTTTTAAGCCAAGTTTTCCGATAATTGTTTTTGGATTTTTTACCAAAAAACAGTTGACAATGAGTGAATTGGTCTATGTTAAATTTTTATATTCTATTTTAGATTCTTTTTAACTGCTAATGTGGAACCTAACATGGTATCTCGAAATGAGTTTTGTCAATCCATCTTAAACCGAAAAATCCTAACTGGATCAATAAATTAGACTCTGATATCATATTAAGTTTCATGAATTTCTAATTTAATATTTCTTACTTTTAATGTGGGATATTTCTCACAGAGTATATATAAATGATCTACAAAGGAAAAAACGTTTTCAGATTACGAGATTCAGAGAGGATTAAATTCACTTGATATGATGTTGTAAAAAACAAAAAAAAAAAAATCCTGAAGTTTGTACTTATACATAAAAAAATTGTTTTGACTTATATTAGGTAACTCTCAACGCACTTTACATGGATGAAATATCTTATATAGTGAAGTAATGACTTTGAAATCTAGTTCTTGTTGGATGACAAGAAAAAACTAGTTCTTGTTGTTTTTACTAGTAGTAGACATCACGAATATTAAATTTTATTTTATTTTATAAAAAGAGTCGAACTTTTTGATAATATACCTCCTGAAAGTCTCCCTAAAACAAAATCTTTATACTAAAAAAGGTGATAGGAATCGTTCACGCAATAAGAAAACAGCAGCATTCGAGCTAGCAAAGGTAGATCTCACTCATAACCTCCCAATATAAATTTTGTTTGCTTGTTTTGCTTTAAATGTCAATACCACCACACCATATATTTTTAGATTTAAGACATAGACTGGAGTCATGTTCCCACTCTCTAGTTTCTAGTCTCTAACATTGTATTTTGAGTTACATTCAATTCCACTTTCTCACACCAAAACCACATCAACTTAACAAAAGAAGCAACTTGAATATGATGATGCAAAAAATCTCTTTACTATTACTACTAGTACTATGGGTCCATTCGCTCACCACCGTAGCCGACGGCAATTCCACCGACATTGACCGATGGTGCGACAAAACTCCATATCCTGATTCATGCAAATGCTACTTCAAGAACCACAACGGATTTCGACAGCCGACACAACTATCCGAATTCCGAGTAATGCTGGTGGAAGCAGCCATGGATCGAGCTATATCCGCCCGGGCCGAGTTGACTAATTCCGGCCGGAACTACACAGATAGCAAGAAACAAGCGGTTTTGACAGATTGCATTGACCTTTACAGAGACACGATCATGCAGTTAAACCGGACGCTGCAGGGCGTGTCTCCAAAAGCCGGTGCTGGGAAACGTTGCACTGACTTCGACGCGCAGACATGGCTGAGCACCGCGCTTACAAACACCGAGACCTGCCGACTTGGCTCATCCGATTTCAACGTCTCAGATTTCATCACACCCATCGTTTCAAACACCAAAATCTCCCACCTCATCAGCAACTGCTTAGCTGTCAACGAGGCCCTCTTGACCGCCGGAAACAACGGCAACACCACTGCTAATCAGAAGGGTTTTCCGACGTGGGTTTCCGGTAAAGATAGGAGACTTCTGCGTACCGTCCGAGCCAACCTCGTGGTGGCCAAAGACGGATCAGGACATTTCAACACGGTACAAGAGGCTATTGACGTGGCTGGCCGGAGAAAGGTGACGTCAGGGAGGTTCGTTATATACGTGAAAAGAGGGATATATCAAGAAAACATAAACGTACGTCTAAATAATGATGACATAATGTTGGTCGGAGATGGAATGAGATCCACCATTATCACCGGCGGTCGAAGTGTCAAAGGAGGTTACACCACTTACAATTCCGCTACTGCCGGTAATTAATTTACTCGTTTTATTCTTTCATTAATTTTAGTTAGTAGATTGGATCTAACAAGTTTCTATGTCATTAATGAAAAATATTCGAATATTCCGTACGATTTGAGTTTTCCTATCGATAAGATTCATGGTGGAGACGTCCAAGTTAAATCATACATTGGGATCGTAATCAATTATTACCACTACTTAAAAAAAGAAAGATATAAACGTAACCGTTGTTTATTTTTATTTTTTTCCCGCAAAATGTGTAAGCGTTACCATTTGAAATATTATTTCATTTTTTCTCTCATTATGAAACAATTGGCTAAATTGCATGTGATCCAGGTATTGAGGGACTTCACTTCATAGCCAAAGGCATAACGTTTCGGAACACAGCGGGTCCAGCCAAGGGCCAGGCCGTGGCACTTCGGTCATCGTCTGACCTCTCAATCTTCTACAAATGCTCAATTGAAGGATACCAAGACACACTGATGGTCCATTCTCAACGCCAGTTTTACCGCGAGTGTTACATCTATGGAACCGTCGATTTCATCTTTGGTAACGCGGCAGCTGTATTCCAAAACTGTCTCATCCTCCCTCGCCGGCCACTCAAAGGTCAAGCCAATGTAATTACCGCACAAGGTCGTGCTGATCCGTTTCAGAACACAGGGATCTCTATCCATAACTCAAGAATTCTACCGGCTCCTGATCTAAAACCAGTGGTAAGTACCGTTAAGACGTACATGGGCCGGCCTTGGATGAAGTTCTCACGAACCGTGGTTCTTCAGACGTATTTGGATAATGTTGTGAGTCCGGTCGGGTGGTCTCCGTGGATTGAAGGTTCGGTGTTTGGTCTGGACACTCTGTTCTATGCTGAATATAAGAATACCGGACCAGCTTCATCCACGAGGCAGCGTGTCCATTGGAAAGGGTTTCATGTGTTGGGTAGAGCTTCCGATGCATCTGCTTTCACTGTTGGAAAATTTATCGCCGGTACCGCATGGCTCCCAAGCACCGGCATACCTTTCACTTCCGGACTCTAAAGACTGTCTTTGGTTTTCCGTGTTTAAGTTACAATGATATAAATTTTACACTTTTGAATATAACTCACTATGCCTATTATGAAACTGAAGTTTTAGTTATAAATGGAAGAACGAGATTCCTGTACCGCTGCGAAAACGAGCTCGAAACAGAATTTCGAATGTTACAAATCATGTCATATTTCACTCTCATTTGACATGCGGGAATGGAACAGGACGGAACACAAACAAAATTTCCTTCCTTGTCATGTCCCCAAATGTGATCCTAAAGTAGCATTGCATATCTAATATCCCGATACGAGGATAATAGTAGAAATTAATGTAGAAGACCCACAAACGAGAACTTTAGTTACAGATGCCAAAGAGTTGAACAAGGAACATGAATTAAACTCCAAATGAGCTATAACTACAAAGAACAAAGCTTTAGACACGAACGAACCATGAGAAATAGAAGATCTGAGTACCTAACAATCAATAAACTGAGAGAAACACAATGAACCCAACTGTTTGTTATATTCTCCAGCTATAGTCCTAACCAATGGGAGAGACTCAGCAAAAGGCTGAAACCGAGGCGAGCAAAACCATCATCATGCTGAAAATTAGTTTCAACTGTCCATTTAGTAATGTTGCAGCAGAGCTGTGATGTTGTTCCCTGTAGGAAATCAACAAAGAAGAGTTTCTTAATTTTTCTTTACATAATCTGAAGGTTAAATTAGAGAAGGAGAGAGTGAAGTTTCTGATCCTTACTTTTGCATGGCCTGAAGAGCACCACAGTACAGAACATTTTGAGGCGGATCCATTTCTGTACTTCCGTTTTCCTCGGGGTTTACAATTCGCATGTATGTTTCTTGGCCAAGATACCATCTGTCAAGATTCTCAACTCGGATATTCCAAACTCCGACATTATCGAGGGAAACAAGTACAGCAGTCCATGCCCCTGGATAAACCTGAAGCAAACATTAAAACAAAACAAAAAAAACCCAGTAAAGTAAACCTGCTGACCAATATTATGACTCCAAATGGTGTATAGAGAGACAGATTGCAAATGTGAAATAACCTCGATCGTGCTTCGTGCTATTGCATCCCAGTTGTTATATGAACCTTTTCTGTCTTCTGACCATATACCAAAGTCCATTCTGGATTACCAAATATTGAAAATCCATGTTAGAGCAGTGAAACTGATCGAAAATGTAATAAATGTAAGTTGCATGATTTACTTACGCAACCACGTAAAATGAATATCCATCAATATGGAAGCTCTGGATTTTGGTGTCATTGTTCTGGAAGATAACTTGTATAAAGCCCTTGTATGATGCGTTGATGATAGAGCTGTCCATACGTTGATGTCTTTCATCAAGTGGTCTGTCTGGGAAATCTAGCTTATAATCTCCTTTCACTTTATGGTGATCTGCAAGCCTCATGGGGGTGCTTGGATTGACAAATGAAATCCCATTAAGCGTAGCACGAATTTTCCCATTGATTTCTGTTGGAGGCAAACTCCTCAAGATGTATGTGCTTGTGATATTTATCTGTCCGTAGTGAAATGATCCTTGCGGATTTGGACGAGCTCCACCTGCAGATGTGTTTTGCCTGCATATGAAAAGAATCAGGATTACAATTACATGGCTACATGTTAAAGTTTAACATCCACTTGCTTGAAGAGTTTCTAGACATACTTTATGGCTCTTGGTTGGTTCATTGCGGACCAAGGGTGAGAAACATCAGTTGCTGGAACTGGTAAAGGACCAGAAGCAGGTCCTTTGGAATTTGAATAATGGAGAATGCCAACACCTGTGACTCTTTGCCACACTGTTTCATTCACAAATCTAGCACTCGCCACAATGTAGTAATCACTTGTGGCGTTTTGGTCCATGGTTACCAAGAAAGAATAAGACTGTCCCACATGAATATCGAAATCGGTGAAGTTTATTTGGGAGGTGTAGCGACCCTCAGTCTCAATCAAGAGCAATTTGTGGTTCTGAATCCTTAAGTTCAAGCTTGTCGAGATACCAACATTGTGAACGCGGATCCTGTATGTCTTCCCTGCAAAAAGTAACTCGAATGAAGTAAGAGGGAATAAATCTCAAAGCCAACTTAGATTTGTAATGCAATGACAGCAGAAATAGCTGAAACTGGAGATCCAATGCACACAACTCCACAACCAAATGCAAATGGGAACAGAATGAAAGCAAAGTTACAATACAACTCTCAAAATGTTACCTGGATCAACATTAACGGTTTCATGTTCAATTCCATCAGGAACACTGCTATTGTACTTGAAAGGACCTTTTCCATTGATGAGTACTCCATCCGGCATCCCAAGTTCTTTACCAGAGTCAAGTATCCTCCTTAAAGCCTGAAAGAAAACAGAGTTTCACAGATATAAACACATAGACACTCATAACCAAAAGTGAATAATAAACACCATCTACACCCCAAAATACACTTACTGTATGGTTCTGAGTATACCAATCACCAATAATAAAGATGATTTCACCATCAGGCTTAGTGAACGGGATAGGAACAAGGTCTCGGTTATTGATTATGATTGAACCAAAACCACCAGAGGCTCTCTGAAAGTTAAGTGAAGGGGAGTAGAAATAACTTCCAATCTGATCTTTCAACTGAAAATCATAAGTGAAGTTCCATTTGGGTGGAATTGGACAGTTTGTTCCAAGAACACCGTCTTGCCACGAGTTACGCCGCATCTGAACACCAGGCCTATCAAAACAAAAAAAAAGAATGTCAGAATCACAACAAGCCTATAAGCAGCCACAAGTGATTATAAGAATGTTAAAGATAATCATCATCACCAAGTAAGTAAGAGAGGCTCATCCAAATGATTGAATACGTTAACATCAACATTGTAGTTTGTAGTAGCATTAATCACAGGACCTGGAAATTTCCCATTGACTGCTATAACCTACACGAAACAAAATTCAATTTCAGATAAAGCTCAAACAATGTAACCACCTCCGACGAACCGTAATGTTAGATCTAGAGCAACAACTACGTTTTTAGCGAAATCAATGACACAAAATCGATAGCTTACAGCGACTAAACCTCAATTTCACGGAAAAAAATAGGGTTTTAAGGGAAACGAAACCTGTTGAGGAACACCGAGAGGAGAAGCTGTGATGTACGAGACACTGAAATCGTAAGATACGTAAGGATCACCAGCGAAAGAGAAGCCGAAGAGAAGAGCGAAGGAGAAGACGAAAACAGAAAACCGTGAGAAAAAATCAGTAGCCGCCATTTGTTTAATCTCAGTGATTTTGAGGTTTTTACGCTTCTTCGTTGATGATCGTCGGCTATAGAAACGACATTATCGGAGCAAAAATCGAAGACGATGAAGAAGAAGAAGACGAAGAGGAAGAAGAAGATGAAGAGTGTGTAAAGTGTGTGTGTGTGGGTTTTTGAAACTTCTCTGACAAAGAGGTTGAAGAAAAAACAAAAATGAGGATTTTATATTCTCTATTTATTTATTAATTTAGTGTTGTTGATACTAATCCCTAAACGCGTTATAAAATTACTGGTTACCGAATTAACCGGTTCTTCTAAATTGTAATAAGGGTTATATATAATATGTGTCTATATATAAGTGGATGTGAATTAGATACTGACTCAATTACACCAAGGATTCTCAATTGATTTTAATTTTCTACTTTCTATTTCTATTGATTACCTACCATTAACGATGTGTGAATTGTTATTTGAGGAAGCTTTCCATTTCTCTAAAGATTTGATTTATTGATCATTTTAGTAGATACGTGTTTGGTATGATTTTGTTTGGGACCTAATATGGTTATAAATGTGTGTAGATAATTCCCTTAATTAGATTTTTTGTAATCAATATTTGCATGTTCTACGAAACTACACAAGTACCCAACTCATATATGGGTGTCAATATAAATGTGTATTCTAGAATAATTTGATTTAACTATTTTAAGAATTAACATTTTCCCAATATATAATTTGGAGTAACATAAATTTGAAAATTTATCTATTTTAATATTTTATTAAAACTAGGAATATAAAAATGGATTAAAAATCAAGCTTTGGCTAATTCCATTTTTTGTTGTTCTTTTGTTTTTGGTAACCATTTTTCTGATCTTTCTAACGTTCGCATTTCACTTCGTTGCCGTTGGACCTACCGATCATAGGGCCAAAATTGTATTATAGATTTTTTTTTTGTTCGTTTTGTTAAACTCATAAACATACAATGATACGTACATAATGAACATAATTCAAGGTCTCGTTTGTTTTGCCAACGGTATCAAGTTAACTTTTTCGATTTTTCATTTTTATCATTTACTATTTTTCTCCTTGGTCGACACGTTTATATTGCGCAAGACTCTTCCTTAATCCTTGCTTTTATTTCATTCGCATTTGCATTTAAGTGTCAACAAAGATACACTTATATCAAAAAAAAAAAAAAACGATACACTTAAAAATGAGATTAAAGGGCTGCGTTTGATCTCATTTCATGTTGTTTACCACAACTCCACAAGCTTTTATCAATGCATACATAGTATAAAGATTATTACAAAAGTCCAAGGAAAGGGACTTATCAGTAAAGAAACGAGCATGAACCTTTTCTTCTAAAATCACCAAAGCCTCGGAAGATTTGATGCAAATGGATGTCTTGTATTGAGTTGAAGAAGCACCTTGAGTGATGAAAAACTCCATGAGGGCATCAAAAATTCCTTGTTGCACCAATCTTATCTCTAAAGCTCCAATTGATCCACCTTTACCCCTATATTCTCTATAAGAATTGTTCAATGATTCTTCCACACATAACAGCATTGTACCAAAACCTTGTTATCAATTTCAACAATGTCAGTCGGGGTATTTGGCTTTGAGCTCCCAATAAAGAACATAGTGACCTGGAGTAGTAGAAATATCTGCATAGCTTGTGAAGTCCATCAACATCAAATTTGATGATTCAAGAACCATCTTTGCGCGTGTCACCGCGTTTAAAAGGTCTGCATCTGTAGTTATCTCTAAATGAATACTTTGAGTCAAATTTCCTCTACGCACAAATCTAAACTGAGATGCACTATTATAAAATCCAGTCACCAGTAGAATATCACCCATCTTATATCTATGTAGGCTTAGCCGAAACAAAAACATTATTAATCGATTAGTAGACCTCAATATTAGTCGTAGTATATATAAAAATATTTTTTTCTCGACTGAGCTCAGTTCCAAACATATTCTGAAGATAAGTAACTGGAGGAAATTCATGGCAACTTGTTAGAGTAAAACTACAATGATGGGATGTGTTGAGCCATTCGACCGGTTGCAATGCTTTCAATGAATTTGGCTTTAGGCTAAATACTCAAGATTCATAATAGAAGCTAAGCGTAATAAACACTCAATCTAACAAACTCATAGACCTGAATGAAAAAAATGGATTGTTTTACATTTGACCACACAAGAAAACGTTCTAGATGAAGAAAATAATTAGTAAAAACATATTACCTTATCTCTGGTTCTTCCATTAATGATAGCGGTTGGGAAGTAGTCAAATACGTTGTTCTCCAAAAGAATTTAAAATAACTAAAATTATATATGTTGGACTAATCTAAGAACTTTGCCAAAAAAAAAAAAAAAAGACTAATCTAAGAGAAGACTTAATACATTTTCAAGAGTCAAATACGCATTTTCCACAAAGAATTTTTTTTAAAAACAAGAGGTCCATCTTACTTATCCGCGTAACCTTATATTTATTTCTAAATAAAAAGGCATTGAAATTAACATCGCAACGGTGAGTTCATTTCTCTCCATATATTCATGAATTCACCTTCAAAAACTCATCCTTTTAAAATTACCCAAAAAAATAAAAATTTCAAACTTCATAATAATGTATAACGTCGTGGTTTGCTTACTAACTTTGAGTTTTTTGTTGTTCTCTGGATTATCAAACACAGCAGTGGCTCGAGTACAATATGAATCTCCAACTCCCCGTAAGTTTTTATATAAGCTCAGTTCGATTTCGGTCCGGTTGTAGTTCAATTTTTGGCTTTATGGTGACCCATTATTTTCTGTTTACTTTGATATACTTTTGGTCTTTATTCCATATTTTTGTTCGATTTGGATTGGTTCGACTAGATTATATAAAAATGTTTTTTACTCTAGATATTCAAATTGTTGTTTTCTTTCTTTTGGGAAGAAATAGGAAAAGGGGTTTGGGATCAAAAGGTGATCGTCAAAGAGATCAAGGTTGCGGTAGATGGAAGTTGTTCACCGCATGCACATGGAAGAGGGCGACCCAATAGACCAGGCTCATCAAATATACCAGGCTCGCCAAAACGATGTACTAAACCCTAGTTCCCTAGCAACAGACATAAAAACCAAAAAAAAAAAAAATACAATAGACATTTCTTTGGATTTAGTTTCGTTATATTCTTGTATCCTAAGAACTAATTCCTCTCGTTTATGCCTTCATCACATACTGAGGAATATACTGTTACAATGTCATGCCTTTTGACTAAAAATTGCAATAAGCAATAAAAGACTAGACGCTATTGCTAATCACAATTCTTTGTTGGACTGGCTCATTCTTGGGATTAGCCACGCGACTTAAGTCGGTTATGGTTGGCACATGTTTTAGTTTTGGATCCTTAATCACATGTTGAGATCTCACACAATCAAAATATTCCAACTTATATTTTCCTCTGCAAATTTAGCTTTGTTCAATTTTGATAGAGAAGAATGTGAACGTTATGTTGCATTTTGTCCTATTAATAACTTATACTTACACATAAAAATTTAAACCAAAATGATTTGAATTAATCCGGAGATGGAGGCATTTATCCAAGAGAAAAAGAATTTACAGTTATAGAAAATAAAGAGATTGATCGGAAAAAGGATCTCCGGCATGTTTTAAGCCTTCATGTGATCTCTACTCCGATACCGTTAAGTTAAATCTCAACGGTATTTGTATAAAGCCGAAAAAGTAACAATAATCCTCTAATTAACTTGCATATTTGTAATATATATTAACGTTAACCACTTTCTTCTACTTCTTCTGCTACTTAACCCATTGATCTCTTCCATGTCACCAATGATTTCAGAAACTCCATCACCTGATAGATACATTACAACAAAATCAAACTCATATGATCGAAAATCGTAGCTCAAAGTATTCAGTAGAGTGATTTATTAGTTTACCTCAGACGGGTCACGAAGCGAGTAAAAGGCATTGCTGTCTTTGGGCACAGCAGAGACTAATATACCATAACCGTGGTTTGGTCCATCTCGTAATACCTGACATTACTTGCACCTTAAGTCAAAACTATTTCTTAATGAAATGTTTTAGCTAAATGGGTTTATAAGAACAAACCTTAAATGCATCTTCGTCTGTTCGATCATCCCCGACATAGATTGGAAGAACATCCTCACAGTTGTTTAGGCCTGAAAAATGTTTTAAAAGTCAATGGCCAAACCAAACCAAGATTCAGAACAGAAGCAGAGGAGAAGGATTTTGTTAACTACCGAGAGATTCAAGTAGGAATGTCACAGCTTTCCCTTTGTCCCAGTCAATCACAGGACGGATCTCTAAAACCTTTTAAGCAACACATACAACAAACCAAGAGAACAAAATCAAAACTTTGAACTTCTTTTTGTTGAAATATGTAAGAAAGAATTCAGATGTTTTTACCTTCCGGCCATGTGTTAGCCGTAGTTTTGGATATGTTCTGATGACATCATCAACACACTGTGCAACCAATGCCCAGTTCTGTAACAAAGAAGAACTTTTTAAAGAAAGTGTATTGGTTTATAAAGGAACCAAAAAGGTTACTGAATTGAGAAATCCGGACCTTTTCTTCTACATTGCGGTAATGCACAGAGATGCAGAACTTGTTGTCTTCTACTTTTACCCCTTTGATATCTTTTGTACTCTCTATAAGCGAACAAAGCACCTGATAAGATAATTTCAAGAATTCAACAATCAAATATGATGTTGCTATTACTAAAGCTATATATATACACATTAGAAGATGTGTTGCAAATACCTTATCAATCATCGGTAGAAACTCGCTAGCAGGCTGGAATAGATTTACATCTTTCCCCTGAAATTTTCAAAAATCGCAAATCAAACACTGATGTAGCAAACAGATATTGCAGAAAACAAACAAAAAGCAAGAAAATGAACCTGTTCGTTAACTGATACAGTACGGCTATGTTCGTGGTTTAGAGATTCTCCTGCGGGACTCATGATGTCCATTCCATGGCTTCCAGCGTAATAAAGTTCACTCAAATTAACAAACTCATACACCTAGATGATGCAAAATGTACTATTATTACATTAGACCATACGAGATGTTTTTGATGAAGAAAGTGAAACATGTAAGAAGATTACCTTATCACGGCTTCTTCCACTAATGATCGCGGTTGGGAAATACTTGGCAACGTTTTGCACTGCACTACGCATCTAAACATGAAAAAAGGTGTAAACCATATAATTTATTAGGAGGATGAATCACAAGTTTGATCTGTTTTAGCAATTGAATTTAATAGAGGAAAGTTAAAAACTTACAGCACTTGACATGTATGCACAATCAGGTTCCTCAACTATAGGCGAAAGTGTCCCGTCATAATCAAGAAACAATGCTATTCTTTTACCCTTTCCAAAATTCATGATTTTCTCAAAAGAACTAAGAGCTGATGGATACTTGAGCTGCTAAAACATGATTACAAGACAAAAAGAAGTTTATCAAGATCAAAACAAAAACACAAATGTTCAGAAAGAATAAGGACAGTAAGGAACAAACCGTCCATTCGCGATAAGTCATATCCGCAGCATCACTGCTTAAATTATCTTTGTTAAGTATAGTTGGAGGAGGAGAAGAAGATTTCATCGCATCAAGCCAACCATTAGACTTAACATCATCAAGGATCCCAGTTTTCTTTCTTGGAACGGTTAGTAAGAGATTGCTGTTCTGTGAGATAGCCGTGGCTGCTGCTGATGAGTAAGGGAGTCTATTCTGACGAATGGTTAATCTTGAGTTGCTTATCGGTGGAGAATCAGTCATTACAGGAGACGAGTGACCAGATTTTATGTCCATAACAACACCAGATGTTATTAGCAAACTATAAATATATATCAAAGTTTCTCAGAGGATTCTTGAATAGAAGAAGCTCTACGGTTTCACTTCTCTACTGGATTCTTTACAAAAATCCTCTTCCTCAGAGAAACTTGGACCCTGAAATGCAGATGCCAAGCAAGAAACAGAACCAGTTAAGACAAAAGCAAAGAAATTTACTTATTTCTAAATTTGATCGCTATAATTCTCTGAAGCTAATACCAGGAAAACATTGGATACCAAAGTTACATATTGACCTCAAGCTATTATCCAATGAGAAACAAACAAAAGGTTTGTAACATTTCTTTGTCTTTATTTTGCTGACAGTTGTACCAAAGGGGTAATCAAGTAAACCACTTTATTCATGAAATGACTTTACTTTGTGTAATGCCAGAGAGATCGCATTATGGCCAATATAGAACCTCTCTATCAAAGGAACAAAATTAAGGATTATTTCTCCAAATAGAAATTCCTGACTGATATAGAAAATCTCTACTGTCTTTCACAATTTTTTACCATCCAAACATCTAAAGCTAAAGAATAGAGCCAAAAATCCAAACCCCACATTTCAAGCATCAAACATTTTGTATTCTGCAAAAACATACACATTTTGGAGAGTGAAAAAAAAGAGGTAAAAAGAGACATAAATATTGAATACCAAATTGCCACAAATGTATAAGCACAAAGGCAGGCACATGAGAAAATTTTGTATGGTATCGAAAAAAAAACATAAACTTTTACCAAAAGTTTAGTAAACACACTTGCAAGAATAGACAATGAAACATTGTCTTGACCCACCACCACCATTTCAAATGTGTTGTGCTTAAAGCTTGACAAATCATTGTCACTCACATAAAATCCAACCCAAAAAAAAAACAAAGTACCAAATTCCTAAACCCAGAAAACAAAATCCGGTTTTTCTTTAACTGGTTTGGTTCAAGCATTTCATCATACAACAAACATCCCCAAAAAAAAAAACTTCAACTTTTAACCAAAACTCAAACATCCCAGCTGATAACTAAGAACAGAGATTGTAAAAATGGAGACTTTATGCAAAAAATCAGAGAAAAGACGAAACTTTAAGCTAAGAAATTACCTGAGAGAAATGCAGATACCGGAAACGACGGGAAGAAGAAAGACAGAGACTTTTTTTGTTTCCTCTTCTTCTCTGAGTTTTGGTTTCTCGCGGTTTCTGTGCAACCAAATAAGGGACACAGAAAATAAATGGGAAATGGGAAAGGAGATTTGCAAAAAGACGAACTGTGAATAAAAATGTCTTTAAATGCCCAACAAAATCGCAGAGAAAACTATCCCAAAAATAAATAAACTCCAAAAATTTCTGATATCAGAAATTAGAAAATATAAATATAAGATTTTGGGAAGCTAACTAAAAAAAAAAAACAGAAGAAAATAGACAAAAAAAAATGAACTTTTTTTTTCTCTCCCGACGGTTGTTGACTCGCCAGAAAAAATTGAGGAAACAGGTGACAAAAAAAAAGGTGACGTGTACGTGTACTATACGTAGCCAATAAAAATAGCGCGTGAAATATACGAAATATATTTAGCGCGTGAATTAACGCCGTGATTTTTTTTAAAAGAGCTTCTTTGTGGTGGTTGGGTTAACATTACTAGTTGTAATTAAATTAATTAGTGTGGCTAATTGTTTTTAATTGAAGTGTGGTTATTATTAATTAACAGTTCCAAAAAAACCGCCGATCATAATGGGGGCCCAACCCAAATGTGGATCTAGAAAACTACGGCGATAGACACGTGGCAGCTTGTTTCAAAGCCGTGATTAGTCGAGTCAGGTCTGACGTGGATAAGTCGAATAGGTTTGGTCCCGCCACCGTGAGATGGCTGGTTTTGGTGCGGTCGCTCTCGGACACAGCTGGTGGAGAGGAGGTCGGTGACGGTTTTTTTTTTTATAAATAAAAAGTCATTTTCTTTCGACTCAGTTCCAAAAAAAACGACATGGGCTCCACGTGGATCATCGAATAATATGAATTTCTGACCATAGGATTTGGTTACGTGGCGCAAAGTTGTTGGCTTGTGCGGATAGCTATATTTATGGTTTTTTTAAACTTTATTCCTCTTACGATTTTACTTTTGTACGTCTTCCTCACAACAATTATTAGCGGTCACATACTCACATTGTTAAATTCGAGTTACTATTTTTACTGTTTCAACTAACACTATAAGCTTTTTATATTAAGCCGAACACTTTTTGTTTGAATTATTTATCTAGAGCAAGTATGTTTTTACTTTTCTTGACTATCACATTCACAAGTTTACTTTCTTGATCGATGTGTTGAATTTCTATAGCAGGAAACATCAAACATGTGTAGTGGTGCTTAGTTTAAGTTGTGCAAGTTAAAGTTTAATACGACGTATTAAAACACCATAACCAAATTTGATTATGGTGTTTTAAACAAACGAACAAAATAAATGAATAAAAAGAAAAGTCGGATCAAACTTAGTTTTGACGAGAGGCAGTGTAAATTAAGCAATTTTACAGAGAAGAAGACGGTCAAAGATTCTGACAAGAAGACGACAAAATAGAGGAACCAATTTGGAAGTGGAAAATGAAAGACTGTTATTAAAAAAAAAAAAAGAGATTTGGCTTTTCGAGGAGATGTAAGATTGTAAGGTTCGTTTGGTACCAATTGAGGGAAGATTGTAGGACCACCTACTTCACAGTTGAATTCTCGATTAGTTTTAATCTTGTTTATGAACATATAACTAGTATGTTAATATACTGTATAATTATGTTTTTTTTTTTTTTTTTTTTTTTTTTTTTTTGTATAAGGGAAAATTAGATTGGGTACCACATTTTGCCCAAAAGTTATCACTTCTACCACATTTGAATCTCAATTATCATTCATACCACATTGTGTTTGTAAAATGACCATTTTACCCTCCAACTGGTGAGATAAGGAACTGCAGATGATGTGACCTTTCGAAACAAAGTTGTCCCCGAGTATATCCAGATCTTCGTCTTCGTCCCCGAGTAAGTAAACGAGGAAGATCAACACTGTTTGCTTTCATTTCAATCCAGATCTTCGTCTTCGTCCCCGAGTAAGTGAACGAGGAAGATCAACACTGTTTGCTTTCATTTCAATACTCGACAAATGAACCATCTCATTCCATGGTGGCTCGATTGAATTAGCTTTGTAATCGTGAATTATCATCGGCTCTGAATTCTCGTCGTCGTTTTGGTTTGGGACATTGAATCTGAGAGTTAGCTCTTGGATTTTTTTTTAAAACTCTTCGTCGGAGAATGGATCTAAATTTGCGCTATAAACTCTTCGAATCGAATGAGTTTTGATCGGTCTAGATGATGATGATGATGATGATTCCCATAGCTCACAGGATTTGGAGCGGTGAAGCTTCGTCGACGGAGTTCCGAAAAAATTGTCCCCGAGTGTAATAAAATTTGTCCCTGAATGTAACAAAAATTGTCCCCGAGTGCAATTAATGCAGCTGTCCTTTTTTCTGACACATCAGTCTGTCGCCATCAAGGGCAAACTCGTCCATAAATTATCACATGGCAAAAAAAGTGGTAGAAACAGAAAACCTTTTCCAATTGTGGTAGATTTCAAAGGGAATCGTCAGAAAGTGGTACATTTGCCAAGATTCCCTTTGTATAATTATGTTTAATAATAGAAGAATATCGAAATTGGAAAAGATCTTTTGGAAATTGAAATTTACCAGTCAGAATCTTCTTGTTTGACGCCGCTGTTTCTGCTCCTCCCTTTGACCATTCTTAAGGCCTCAACAACTCATTCTACTTGAATTTCGTTTAGCTAGTTTCATGATATTTTTGGAAGTTAATTACACTATTAAACTACTAGTAATATCTTAATAGTTTATCAAACATTATAGTCGGCTTACGTCACACGAATTAAGAACAATATATCACACGAATTCATTACTATCTATTGAAAGTTACACTTCATTTTCGTTCCATTTTAATAGGTTTACTGATTTATCAATTCGAATGTCAAAGTCTATGTCATTTTTTCTGCTTCGATGTCAACAATTATTGAGAAGATCTTTAAAAAATAACTAGATTTTAACCCGCGGTACACCGCGGGATGATTTATTTTTAAAGTTAGTATAAGAATATTTTGTAAATTGTATCTTCTTATAAAATATTTATTTATATTATAGTTTACAATTGTTATTAAGTAACGGTATACCACGAGTCCACGAGACAATTGTTAATAAACTGAGGATTATAAACCCGTTCCAAAATATAACTCGTTCCGTAATTTCTTAACCCGTCCCGTGATTTATTTTTAATTTAAAATTTAATGATTATTTATTATATATAAAAGCTTACAAATCATATCATTCTCTAAGAAATTTATATTTTAATAAAGTGAAGATTTAATCTGTATTTAAGCGGCATGTTAATGATATTTTAAAATTTTATAAATATTGATTCAAACTCATATATGTAAACAATATTCCTCAGGAATGGCTCTTTTGAGCTCTAATTAATTTCGGATGACAAAAAAAAAAAGATTCAAACTCGTCCACCATATAACTTAGTTCGGAAATATAACCCGTCCTGTAACTTCTTAACTCGTCCCGTGATTTGTTTTCTAAAAGTAGTAATTTTTAAAATTTAACGATTATTTATTATATATAAAAGTTTGCAAATTTTATAATTTTTTAAGATATTTATATTTTATAGTTTACAATTGTTATTAAGTAACATTATACCACGGGACAATTTTTAGTTTTATACAATCTTTTCTAAATGAGACTGATTTAATATGTCTAATATTGGTGGTATTAAAAAAATTAAGGATTTAATCCGTAGTGAAGCGGCGGATTAATGATATTTTAATATTTTTATTATTGTTGATTCAAAAACCCGTTCCGCCAAATCGTCCCGCCAAAAAACTCATTTATTTTATTAGTGTTGATCTTATTTATGATATGATTCTGAATCATTGTCTAAATATTTTAATCGATGTAGAACGTTGAACACACATTTTCGTCAATTGGATAATATTTGTCCGTTTTTAAAATTTCGAATCACAGTATATGCAGAAAAAAAATTGATTTTTTTTTTACTTATGTATTATATGATGATTCAAAATAGTTAAAAACAAATCAAACAAAGATGAATGGAGAATCATTATTCTAAATCTTAATCAAATCTTCTAAATATCTAAATTATTAAATATATAATATTCGGTGTATGCGTTGGGTTTTATTTAACCTGATCCAAGTATTTTTTTGTGAAGGAATTTAAAAAACGGGTCGGATATCCGATTAACCCAGAAGCGTTTTTACCCACCCGTCACCAAAATGTTGCAAAAATACTAGTATAGATTATTGTGAAGATGTGGTGGTTTATAGATTTACTTACATTGTAACGTTTATTCTGCCTCCTTCAATATTTTATAGATCGCAGCTGGCTTGCTAGATGAGAAGTCAAGCTTTCAAAGTTGCCGAATCTTAAGGGTTTGTTGGAACTAATTGATTATCGCAATTCATGGTGTTCTTGGTGATCGAAGTTGGAGCTTAATTAATTAGTGATGATATATAGTGTACCAAATACGAGTGGTGTGTAGCTTTGCAAGAAGGAGGATCTTGGGATTTAAGGTCTAAAATATATAAGATGCAAGTGATATCCAACAAGGGTTGCGGTTTGAGAACAAAAGTCAACCGGTGAATGTGTGTTTTGGTTATTTTACTTTGTTACCATTTAAATGCATAAATCCCATCAAGTGAACAAAGCCATTGTTAATAATTTATGAAATTTTGCTACAAATTCAAATAAATACAATTTAATTTCAGTCTAAATTTATCATTAATTTATAATTAAAAAACGCATCAGTTAACAGTTTAACACAGATCATTTAGAAACAATACTAATATTTGTTCTATAGCCAGAATTTTACACCAAGTTTAGATTAGTCCTAAAAGCCTACATGTGCACGCAGCACGCTATATAAACTATAATATTTGTTGAAGATCATATTTCATATATACAATTAGTGTAGAACTACAGTATATACATAAAATTTATGTGATAATAATTTGCAAGTCTACCCAAAATTCTAGAAAATCTTATTATAAAAATATATAATTTAGAATTTTTTTAAGTGTCTATTGGTGATATAGTAAAATATGATATTTGAATCTTTACCTCTTACTAACTAGTTTCGTTCTTTCAATTGGTAACCATTTAAATGGTGCACTTGCGGTAAAAAGTTAACAATCAAATCCAATGGAAATATACATGTTTTTTTTTTCAAAAATTCATTAAAAAGATTTATGAAAATCAAAGCTAATGGATGAAAAATTGTGCATCTTCGAACACACCTAAATTTAGTTATTAAGTATGGAAGAAGAGTATTGAAGAATGAGAAAAAGAAGAAAAAAACATGTGCGTGCATGGCACTCTTCGTCGACTAATTAAGAGATATCGAACCTAACAAAAAATGTCAGCCTCACATGTTCTTACCTAATTAAGCACGACGTCACACATTTCCACCACCGAGGCTAACCCCCTACCTTCACGGGAGATTGTTCTTACCGGTCTCCAAACAATGTATAGAAGTACACTTTGTGAATTCGCCGAGATCGATTTATTGTTAGTAATTTAGTTTCATGTAAGTCATGGAATTGTGGGTTGATAATCACTTTCGCTAGTGTAACCTATAAAAGAACCAAAAAGTTAATTAACTAGAACGAGTAAATATAATAGTTGAGAGAATTTGGAGTAGAATCTAAGAAACAACCGTACAAAAAGTCACAGAATCATGTATTATATTCACATTTTTGTTAAACTCAATATTATATTTATGTATAAGTATACGCATAAGGACTAATATTCTATTCTCACATTCTTATGAAGACAATGGAAAGTTCACCTTATTCTTAATAGGGATTAATATGTTTAAAATCTTTGGGTGATACACTTTTGGACCAAGTAAACGAAAGTGATTTTTGAACTGATTTTACCAATTTCATTTAACTGTCTACTAAATTATCTGTCAGAGTTTTTATTCGGTTTACATATAAAATTTCTTGCGATTTACCAAATTCACTCTATAAAAAGGCATTTTTATACATTTAAACTATTTTCTATCTAGTGAGATAATAATATAACTGATATAAATAAAGAGATGTAACTTTTCTACAAAAAAAACTAGTATAAAAATACATATCTATATCTACTAAATCAACAGTCACTTTTTAAATAACTGCAGCTTTCTCTATCTGCCACGTGTCATAAGTCTCAAATTCTCTTCTTTTACTTTTCTACGCCATTTTACTTATTTATTTGATAAAAATATATTCCCACAATTTTCTCCTTTTTTTTCTCTGATCTAATTAAACTCACAACTAATCAAAAATATAAAAATCTTTTTCAATTCTTTCTCCCACGTTCCATTTACTCATTTATTTGAGAAAACACTTTTTCCCCCACAATTTTCTCCTTTTTTTCCTCATAACTAATTAAATTTACTATTAATCAAAAGTAAAAAAAAAAGACCTTTTCATTTCTTCCTCCCACGTTCAATTTTTTTTATAACAATTAATAGATCTGATTTTGCTTAAACAATGATTGTGATTTTAATCAAACAATGATTTTTTTTTAATCTATAAATCAAACAATGAAAATTTTGTTACTACTTAGAATTGATAATTTCATTTTTGTTTAGTCTCATTTTATTTTCATTAAATCTTTATGCCAATATAATATTACACATTACTATAATTATTTTTTTTTTAAAAATATCTAACATTTATATATTTAATTTATTCATCTTTATATTGTATATAGAAATGTAAATTAATTGTTAAAAATAAATTTTCATTATAATTTTACCCCATGCATCGCATGGGCCTTAATACTAGTATATATATATACATAAAGACCTTCCGAATCAAGAACCAAGAGTTGTGTCAATTTTGTTAAACTATTTTAAATATTCCAAATTAAAATATTTAAAAACTTTATTTTTGTTTAATATAATTTATGATTTTAACGTTTAGAAACTTATTCAAACGATTCTGGTTACACACTAACACATTCATTTATTTGCGTTCTCATTGGTGGTAATTCGTTCCAAAAAGATAGAGCTTGTAAATGAGCCAAATTTGGACTTTAAACCTGTAATGGGCCCAAATCGGCAAGAAAATTTTGTGATAGTTTAAGCAGATATGAATGCGTCTCTTTTGCAAAACTTACTCAAAATAGATAGATTTTGTCAGCTAGAAAGGGAAGCATGAACCTATACTTCAAAAAATTCCACATTTGGAAACATATTAAGAAAATTGTTGACTTATGTACTCTCTCACATACAAAAACACTAAAGATGAAAAAAAACTAAAGAGAGAAGTTTCAGTTATGGCGTGGAGGTCGAGTGGAAGGCTTCGGATAATCTGCAAATAAGAGGGGTGCACGCCGATGGTGGTGCTTCACTGCACCCGGCACAAACCGAGAAACTTTAACCGGTTCTTTAGATGTTGAACCAGAGACAACGTTTTGATCCTAAACCACAGAAAAGCAAAAAGAAGCCTTAGTTTTGAGAAGGTGAAAGACAGATACCCGCTTATACGAAGAACATGAAAGTAAATGAAAAGTTGATGAATTGAAATGTGGATCAAGAACCTTGACAAGCGAAAACCGAGACTCTGTAATGTGGACATTGTCGAGGTGACGAGAATCAGCAAGATGCACGAGAAGAAACAAGAGAAGGATTGAAGCAATATGGATTGAGCTCATTTGTCACAACAGAAACAGTCACACAAGGGTTAACGATTATGAGGATTATGAAACGTTAAAGGACTTAGTAGGTCGTAGACATTATATAATAAGAGCAAGTTCACACATAAGTATTTGAAAATAAGAATTAAACCCCAGAATAAACACAGAATAAACAAGTGTTTTTTTAATCAATCCAGATGAATGTGCTGGAAAAGCTCATGGGAAAAGCCAAAGATGAGTCAAAAAGAGAGAAAGAAACTACAAAAGGAAAAGGACATTTAAACCTCGGTGAAAAACGAGTGATTTACTACTTCTTGTCTCTTACACATCTCATTTGAGACCAATCCCCAAAACTTACCGACCACCACGGTAAATATTCTATTAAGAAAATGCAAGCTAGTTTCGAATTGCATTATTATATGAAAAACTTAAAGCACTTTTTGAAGGCATTAGTTTAATTACCTTAATGGTTTTGTCTGCCTCGAGAATGGTTTGGAGGTTGACGATGACTGTTAACACCACTTTTTGAGCTTTGACACAATCTCCGAGACATCTTGTCTTCAAAAAGTCCTCTTGAATTGCTCAAATCCTGCGTGTTTCTAAAACAAATAACACATGTTAGTTCAAAGTAAAGAGCTTCAAGAACCAAGAACCCAACATCTGGACCAAGAATGTTCCCTGAGAATGTCTTTCCTCTGTTCCAAGAAGCCATGAAACCTGCAAATTCAAGCTATAGAAACCGGTATAGAGTAGACAGCAGGACCCAGCTTTAAGGAAACAGTTGAGCAATTGAGAAAATCTATTGGATCAATAACAATACACTCTACTTTTTGTTTTCTTGTAAAATTACACGTTCTTATACAAGTGGAGGTAGCATCAGTCCTCAGAAGTGTATTCACATAGGCTGGTTACTACCTCCAGAGAATGAAGCCTCCAACATCAGACTGAACAAGATATTTTATGAACCGCCATGGTTCTGCAAACAGAAGAGCTTTATTTATCCCACAAGAGCAATGAACAAAATCTACTCTAGAGCCTCTTTCTCTTGCAAAGTCTGTTGCAAGAATGCCTCCTATTTACACCAGACAACGCTTCTAAATGTGTGGTGGTGAGTAAAACTTAACAGACAAGGATGTTTCCTGATCCGTTTATCTTATGCTGGGTAAACCTGAGCTCGAAATGGGAGTGCTAATTACTTTTAGGTAAACCATCATCACATTTGGAGAAGATTGTTCACTGTAACAGAAACAGAATTTGTTCTTTGCAGGTCCTGCAAGAAAATTGAATCAATCATCACTAAAATACCCGGCGTGTGCAAACAAGTGAACAACAAATGGCCATTAAATTCAGGAAAATTGAGCCCATCAATTTCTTAATGAAAATTCTACTTCAAGAATTCATATATGCAATTCAACCAAGCATGTATCTTGCTTGTCAAAGCAGACAAATACCAATAAATGCATCTAATATTTACCTGGAAGATTATTTCATCAGGCACATGTGGGAGGACTTCCCTTACTGTCTCGGCCATAGCTAGTATATTCGCCATGTTATTTGCTGCACGGGAGACAGTTCTCAGATGCAGACCACCTGTTCTTCCCCCAGTACCAGGAGGAACATATGTAGATGAAGTCGATGCTTGTGCAGGATTCATTGGCCAGAGACCCCAAGAAGCATCGTCAACTGCAGTCTGAGTATAATCTTCCCCAACAGATGCAAGATGCCTCATCATCAATTGAACCTGCCCCAGCCCAACGGATCTGGAGCCTGCAGAGGGACCCACAACATCAACACCCTGATCTGACCATGTTTGCAGCCAGCTTGGATCCAGTCCTGAATTCCTATATGGCATGAGAAAAAGGTGAGAACTGCTAATCCCGTGCAAGAAAATCAAATGGGGGCACCAACCAACTAATACTCGCTGTCCAACAGAACCAAGTATAATTACACAAAATTAGACAATGCATAGTATTTTAGCTCAAGGATACGAAATCACAGGAAGTGGATGATGTTGTTATGAACACACTGCTACTTTAATGCACTTAAGTAGAAAACATATTGAACAATGAACCCAACCTCCAAGGATCACTTTCAGTGGAATTTGGGGTCTCGGTTGGAAACATCCCAGTGGTTAGTGAATGCACAGAATTATTTTGTCTCTCAAATTGACGGGCTAAGTGTTCATCGCCTTCTCCTCTGCTAGGATTCGCCTCACTTTCAGTTCTACCAGCAAAAAGAGGCTTACGGCATGTAGGACAAGAGTAAACCTCATTTAAACCTTGATCCAACCTGCCCGTGTCAAAATATCACCATGACATACAGTTCTCACAGAATCGCATTAGCACAAGGGTGGCAACATAACAGATCTAGCATACCATGATCGCAGGCATCCAAGATGAAAAAGGTGGTTGCAGTGAAGTCTTTTAGCCTTAGCCATTGGTTCCTATCATTCGTAATGGTTCCAAGACTAGTGAGCTACTGAAATATGTAAAGACACCAATAACTATCTAGCAGAAACATACCCGACATATAGCACATTCGTCATCATATGCCCGTAGCTCTTCTGAAGTTGCATCAGGAAGAGCTGCATGAAGAGCACCTAAAGCTACTCTCAGTTTGATGTATCCTTTTATCCGTTTCAAAATTGCACTTAGCAAGGCCTGCCAAAATCAAAACGGGAAACACACAAAGAACTCAACATTTAGATCTGAGCCTATTAAGCAACCAGTAGAGAGGCACTATTACAAAGAATTTAGTTAAGAGACTTACACGTATGTTGAGAAACAAAACTGCATCCATCAGATGGAAGGCCATTCCATGGAGCCACCAGATGTACAAATAATGACCGAGGGCCATTACCAAGGTAGCCATGTCTAGGAAGAAACCAAGATTCCGGTTGAGGAGGCCTTTCCATTCCAATAATGAGCCTATTCAAAGGGTAAGAGGTTAAGTCAGTAATGTGAACATCAAATAGGCCAAAAATTTCCAAGATAATGCACGCCTGCAGTCTAACAAAAAACATAATCACAATCAAGAGAAGAAAAAACCTGCTGTCATAGAATCATAAAACTTTGATCTTTGGCAATCTGAATTCTTGACCGCTAAGTGGTTGATCCACATCTCAAGCAGTTGAAACCCGTGAATCAACAACGCCTGAAAAATGATCCATTATGCGATTGATCAACCCTCTATTTTTTTAAGGCATGGTTACAAAGAAGGGCAACAGAAACAATGAATACAACTTTACTCAAGTACCTGCAAGGTCTCAAAAGCTACACTGCATGGCTCAAAAAGTAACAATAAATACACAGATGTACCAATTGTATTGTATACCATAAGGGAAAGCTTTATCCTGCAAGATTGGAAAAAATTAACATCCAGAGACGAAAAAGTTCATTCTTCAATCACTAGAACAGAATATGATAATCCAGAGGTCTGGTGTATGAATTAAGGATATTCCTATTTTCTCCTAATTGAACTGCAGTCTAATAAAACATATGGCAACTCTAGAACACAACATTTTCTCAGCTCAATATATGGTGCCCGGCATATGTGCCCTCAGAACATACTAAAGCTTCTGTTTCGTCTTATAAGCAGAAAATTACACTGCTTTCACTAGAAACTATAAACATCATGAAAGTCATGTTCACCATTCAGAGATTTAAGGTTGATTTGTTTAGCCTCCTTTGATATACAACTATATTTAAAAAATACATATCTGGTTCCAGAGATAGGAACTAGGAGGAAAATATTACACTCATGTTTTGAAAAAAATGGGCTTAAGAAGCCGCAACTGAAAATTTCACATGATACCAAAAAGTTTAGGAAATTACCAGCACAAATCAGCAGAGAGAACCATGAACAGTGCTGAATACACACGAAAATATGTCCAAGGAGTAGAAGAAGGAGATGCATTCAATCGATCAAGCCGATCTCTAGCCAAAGCTTGAAACATCTACACAATTTTACTACACAATAAGGTGTCTAGAAAAAAAATTCAGTACTTTCTGATCATAAGTCAAGAAAGCCAATATGCAACCAGTATGCCATACCTTTAGAGTACACAGAACAGTCAACCAGATTGTCCATAGGACCCCCTGAAATACTGTTGGTGGAACCACCAATGGAAGAAAAGTGCCCTAAAACAGGAGTAACCAAGAAGGTTATTAACATGAAAAAGGCACACATCTGCAAATAACTCGATTAAGGCAAACAGATCAGATATCATATCGAATAATGTGGTAGAAATATAAGCTCCTGTACCATTACTGCTTGGCATTTTAAGTAGGATTTCGTCTTCATCCTTTTTTTTGCAACAATTAAGATATTCAGTAAAGGAGACAACAGAATATCCCAGATATCACATCACTATATAAGTGACTGAAAATGTGGGTTGGTTTCGGTTGCACTCTAATGTCTTTCATCAAAGTACAAACAACTACCTTGTAAATGATGTAATTGGCAAGCCTTTCCACCAGCTTTCTAGTTTCAATGGCATATAGATCCCCAAAAAACAGAGTCTGCAGGGAATTTAAAGAGCTATTAGATCCTCACAAAATCGTTGAAAGACATTTCCCAAAAACAGCTAGTCTATTATTACCCTACAAATATGTGCAGATCATTAAGGTAGCAAATAGCATGGAGCTCCATCTACTTGAGTATTTAGTTTCATAGAAGCCATTTAACTAGCAAAGAACAAGAGTTTGAACTCCTTCAGGTCAGAAATACTTGCTTCTTACACCCCAACTCTTAACTCGCAGGTGCAAACTTATAATTCATGCTGTTTCTAATAGCCAAACTACGAGCTTTACATTGAATTTCATCTAAAGAAAATAACCATTCAAGAGATGTATATCTACGTAAGATAGAAAGTAAAGCTAGCCGACGAATATTACTTCACTAACCTTGGAAGTAAAACTCTTACCTTGAGAGAAAGAACAAGAAGAATGTAGACATTGAGCAAAAAACTTGCCAGCAAGGCAATTGTAGTGTGAGAACTCAGAAGCAGCTCAAGGGTATTCTCAGAATCTCCTAAAGAAACGTTCTTGGTGATAATCCCATCAGCTCTAAGTCTATCAAGAGACAACTCCGTCCAGACTTGTAAACCCACAAAGCTCAAAGCTGTTGTTGCCAAGGAAATGGGCAGATATCTTATCCCCATTAGAAACTATTATAGCCTTCTCACTCAGAATTAACCCCACAGAATCTCATTTAGCATGACGTCCCCTGCATCAAACATGATTTTGCATAAGATAAGCAACCAAAAAGCTTATGTTAAGTTTGAGAATTGAGTTTAAAAGTTTCGAATTTTATATAACGTAGGACAATTCGCAGCAAGTAAAATTCACAAACATGATCAAGAAGTTCATAGGATAGAGCAATTGGAAAATTCAATTAACCAAAAGAGAGAGATGAGCTGAAACAAAATGAGAGAATTAACGAGAAATTGAGGTCAATAGCAGCAAATATGAAGATAATGATGGATTCTGCAGAGAGGGAAATGGATCAATTACCTGATTTCGTGATTGGAAAATTCTCTTCAACACCGGCAAATGCGTCCTCTTTCTCGATGGAGAAGGAAAAGTAAAAGAGCAGAAGTTTATTTTTTAAATGAAGAATATAAAATTAATAACTAGGAAAAAAATATCAAAATAATAGACCACGCGGTAAATAAAGAAAAAAAGTTACTTAAATTTGACGACGCCGACACCACGAATGCTATGGTCAACAAAGAATGGGTCCAAAGAAGTCCAGTTACTAAACTAAAAACACACATGATCTTGCATTCTTAATCTCACTTTTTAAGAATGAAAAAGCTTGATCCTTTAATTTGACAAGTTTGTGGAGAACCCATAAGAAAGTGTTTGACTTGATCTTTAGATCACTGGAACCTCTTCTGATTTGACACATTTTTGGACAACCAAGCAACGTTCTAATAGTCTTGTCCCACAAAAGCTTCTTCTGGTTGTGGTAAACAAATATCTCCCCAAAAGATACAAAGATTTTAGGCTCAAAAGATCTTGATGCATGTTGAGACCTCTATAAACATTTCCAGCACATTCAAAATACATTGTATGATCAATTTGATATATCATATACCCTTTAGAAAAACCGAGGATGACCATCGAATGTCTCATTGATCATGGCTCTTCCTTACCATGTTTGATTACACCTCCATAGATAGTATGAACATGTATAATGACAGAAAATCGCCCTAGAAGTGGAGTCCTCTTCTCCCTAATATATCCAAATAATAACATAGATCATAGTTGCTACGATATTCATATCAAGAATTCGAGGAACAAATCCGAACCTATAAAAGTAGTCATAAAACTTATATAGATCAAAAGCCCTAACACATATGACCGTGAAATGTCATTTTCCTTGATTCATCAAACAACACCATAACGTGCGCACACACATAGAAAAACTCTAATCAACATTTATGTGACGAACATTGTTACGCTCCTCCTCTTTAACCTTAGGAATCACCACTTTCAACACACCATTCTTCATCTCCGCCTTAATCTCATCAATCTTGTATACTTTCTCCGGTAACCCAATCCTACTAGTAAACCTCCGGCCATCTCCAGAACCATCTCCCTCCTCCCCCTCATCTGTTTTCCCTTCTCCTTTAATCACCAATGTGTTCTGTTCCAAAGCCAATTTCACATCCTCTCTGCTTAGTCCCGGCATATCTATCCTTAGATGCAACGCGTCGTCTTTCTCTTTCACGTCCCAACCACGTCTAACTCCAGAAGCTCCAATTCCACGCGTAGCTGATACCAAAGGGATTTCGCTGACCTGGTCCATAAAATTCAGCATCTGGCTCAAGCTTCTCGTCGGAGTAAACGGATCGAAGATATCTGTTTGAAAGAAAAACGAACCAAATATTCAGATTTGAGAAATTAGGTTCATTCGACGGATCAATCGCAAACATGTATAAGATCTGGAAAATCTAAAGCGGAATTGGACGGAGTAAACCATGGATTTAAGAGGAGACGATTTACCTGAGAAGAAACCGCCGCCGCGGCGAGTAACATGTCGGTTTGAGTTATGGTTCCTATCGACACCGTCTTCATAGTTTCTGACGGCGTTAGTATTGAAGAGGCGAGAAGAAGCAGCCACCGGACGAACGGCTCTTAAGGCGCGAGGGACGACGACGGTGGAAGAAGAGAGAAGTCTCTTGAGAGCTAAAGACGACGATGACGCCATTTTTGGAAAGAGAAGAAGCTTAGAATTAGAAAGTGACTTAAGATATTTTCAAGCTCGATGGGATTTATTTTTGACTCTTTGTACGATGGAAAAAAGTTGTTAGAGAAAGGATTATATAGTAGAGAGAGTAGAAGAAGGTGCTAGAGACTAGAGAGTGGAGATTCGCTTAAGGATGGTTCTAGAAGTGCGTGGTCTCCAAGTAAATAAAGAGAAACGGCCCTTCACTTTTGGGCCTAGATTTGTGAATTTAGCTTCGGTTCACTTAGGTTCGGTTTTGTGTAGATTGAAGATACCGATTGTTAAACCGAAAATTTAAAATCGGTTTAGATCGATTTGGTTTTAGTTTCTTCTTCAGTGTCTCTCTGCGAAATCAGAGGATCTTCTTCTCTTCAAAATCATCATCGAAGTTGAAGAGAATCTGAGGTAAATCGGGTGATCTCCGATTAAGGATGATGCTGGATCTAGGTCCATTCTCAGATGAGAAGTTCGATGCGAAGCGATGGGTTAACTCGTCGTGCCAAGCGCGTCATCCACAGGATTCACTCGAGAAACACCTTGTGGATCTGGAAATGAAGCTTCAGATTGCCTCCGAGGAGATCGGAGCTTCTCTTGAAGAGCAGAGCGGTGGCGCTCTTCTCCGTGTTCCTCGTGCCACACGTGACGTTTTGCGTCTCCGTGATGATGCGGTGTCTCTACGTGGTTCTGTTGCTGGAATCCTCCAGAAGCTCAAGAAGGTACGCATTTTGTGCTGATTCTTTGGATTTTGTTTGGATCTCCTCTAGCAAATTAGATCACAAGCTCATGGGCAGTGTCGTTAAATTAGATCAAAATCCTTGCAAATGAACTGATTCAATCGCATTTGAGTTGAGCAAGCTAGTGGATTCTAGGTGTTTTTTAAAATGTGCTATTGTGTTTCTTTATCAGCAGAGTTTTGTAATTCGTGCTCTTATGGAATTCGGTACTTGCAGGCAGAGGGTTCTTCAGCAGATTGTATAGCTGCGCTTGCTAGAGTGGACAATGTCAAACAGAGAATGGAGGCTGCCTACAAAACACTACAGGTTAGTATTCATAGTGATTTTGTGATCCGTTATGTGGACACTTGGGGTAGATCTGCAATTGATTCTATTCTCTCCGGTATATGGACAGGATGCTGCTGGGTTAACTCAGTTAAGCTCGACGGTTGAGGATGTATTTGCTAGTGGCGATCTTCCTCGTGCGGCAGAAACTCTTGCCAGCATGAGAAATTGCTTGTCTGCTGTTGGAGAGGTAGTTTAATATCAGTAGTTTCAGTGCTGTAAGGGATTTAAGTCTTTTTTATCGACACCGCTAAACTCCAATTTTGGTCAACAGGTTGCAGAATTTGCTAACGTTAGAAAGCAACTAGAGGTCTTGGAAGATAGGCTGGAGGCCATGGTGCAGCCACGTCTTACTGATGCATTAACATACCACAAGGTTGGAACCTATATATCTAGAGAAACCAACTAATTTAGGTTGTAAAGTCTTTGTTGCCGTTATTGGACTGAAAAGCCTTTCCCCAAATTTGGCAGGTTGATGTCGCCCAAGATTTGCGAGGAATTCTCATCCGGATTGGGAGATTCAAGTCTCTGGAGTTGCAATATTCAAAAGTCCGTCTAAAGCCGATTAAACAACTATGGGAGGATTTTGACACAAAGCAAAGGGCAAACAAGCTTGCCAATGAGAGAAGTGAAAGTCAAAGGTTGTCTAGCGGCGATGAGTTTCGATTGACATCATCTCAGACTCAGACATCATTTGCCAGTTGGCTGACAAGCTTTTATGATGAGTTGTTACTCTATCTTGAGCAAGAGTGGAAATGGTAAATGTTTACTTTTATTTACAATAACTGTATATATTTTCTGGGCCCTTCCAGTGACAGTATGTCAGACCTTTATACCCAATCATGTGATTGCAGCTTAATTATCAATCACTGTAATACTGTCATGATTGTTCAGGTGTATGGTTGCCTTCCCTGATGACTACATGACTCTCGTCCCAAAGCTGTTGGTTGAGACCATGGGAGTACTGGGGGCTAGTTTTGTTTCTCGTCTTAACCTTGCAACAGGAGATGCTGTTCCTGAAACAAAAGCACTCGCCAAAGGTTAGATATGATGCAGTACAGTTTGAGTATTAGGTTTCCTTCTTAGTCTAGTCCTTTTAACCAGCTGGATTGGGATTGCATTGCTTCTTTGGTGGTTCTACTCTGCCATCCTCATACTTTGGTAGATAGATGTAAAGAGCATAACTTTCTTCTGCCTTTACATGAGCTAAAGTTTTTGGCTGTTCTTGTTAAGTTTGTAATTTTTGTGCATAGTGGCCTATGTCATGAATCTGTCAATATGCAAGAGAGACTTGCAGGAAATCTGAACTTTCATATTAAACAACTTATTTGTAACATTTTTCATTTAGTGACTGAAAATTTTCCAGACAATTAACGATTAATTTCATTTGTCTTATATCTATATTTTGTGTATATAGGAGAATACTGACAATTCTGATGTTTTCTTTGAACAGGTGTGATGGATCTATTATCCGGAGACTTGCCCAAGGGTATTAATATTCAGACCAAGCATCTTGAGGCTCTGATTGAACTGCACAACGTAACTGGTTCCTTTGCAAGAAATATTCAGCACCTGTTTGCGGAATCTGAACTTAGGATATTAATAGATACGCTGAAGGCCGTGTACTCACCCTTTGAATCATTTAAGCAAAAGTAAGTTTTCATGTTGTGTACTTTTCTATCCCCATGTCTTTTATCCATTTCTACTGTTTATGGATTGTCTCTTTTTCTCGATGAAACCTTTTGGGGCGTGGTTCTTCAAGGCTGTTTGTGACATGAGTTGATCATGCTTTAGGTATGGGAAGATGGAACGTGCTATTCTATCCTCTGAGATTGCAGTGGTGGATCTGAGAGGGGCTGTCACTCGTGGTGTTGGAGCTCAAGGAATTGAACTCAGCGAAACAGTGCGTAGGATGGAAGAGTCTATTCCCCAAGTTGTTGTTCTTCTTGAAGCTGCGGTTGAAAGGTGTATTGGCTTTACTGGCGGCTCAGAGGCAGACGAGCTGATACTTGCATTAGATGACATAATGTTGCAGTATATCTCTATGCTTCAAGAGACACTCAAATCTTTGAGAGTTGTTTGTGGAGTGGATGGTACAGGTGATGGAGTTGGCTCAAAGAAAGATGCAAGTGCAGAGAAAAGGGAGAGCTCTCGCAAGATGGATTTGACTTCAAATGAGGAATGGTCCATTGTTCAGGGAGCACTACAAATTCTTACTGTAGCTGATTGTCTCACGAGCAGGTCTTCTGTCTTTGAAGCCTCTTTGAGAGCCACTTTAGCTAGACTAAACTCCAGCTTGTCTATTTCGTTATTTGGCACAAATTTGGATCACAACCTATCACATTTGAAAAGTGAACAAACTGCTGGAGATTTGTCTATGGCTGGACGAGCTTCCCTGGATGTGGCAGCTATTCGGTTGGTTGATGTTCCGGAGAAGGCTCACAAACTGTTAAACCTGTTGGAGCAGGTACTGAAAAACTCCAGTCTTGATTTACAAAGTTTCTGAATTAACTGTACAATATTTCATGCGTATTGTTTCCTTTTTCCCTTGATTTGTTGCAGTCTAAAGATCCACGGTTCCATGCACTGCCTTTGGCGTCTCAGAGAGTCGCTGCTTTTGCCGACACAGTCAACGAACTTGTCTATGACGTCCTTATATCAAAAGTCAGGCAACGTCTTGGGGAAGTATCTCACCTACCAATCTGGTCTTCAGTCGAAGAACAAACTGCTTTTCCTCTACCAAACTTCAGCTCATACCCTCAGTCTTATGTTACAAGTGTTGGAGAATATCTCCTTACTTTGCCTCAGCAGCTTGAACCTCTAGCTGAAGGAATCTCAACCAATGGAGATTCAAACAATGAGGATGCACAATTCTTTGCAACCGAGTGGATGTTCAAGGTAAGTCTGATTTAAGCTTTAGTGAACACTGTACTCAGACGTTAACCACTGAATTTAAAAAACAGGTAGCAGAAGGCGCAACCGCTCTGTACATGGACCAACTGAGAGGAATCCAATACATTTCAGACCGAGGAGCACAACAACTCTCTGTAGATATAGAGTACTTGAGCAATGTGCTTTCGGCTCTGTCCATGCCAATTCCGCCAGTTCTTGCAACTTTTCAGACGTGTTTGGCTACACCGAGAGATGACCTCAAAGATTTGATGAAATCAGAAGCTGGTAATGAACTCGATTTCCCTACAGCTAATCTTGTTTGTAAGATGCGGCGTATCAGTTTCGATTAGACTCAAATATAGTTTTGGGGGTCCAAACCCAACGTACTTGGGGTGTCTATGAGATTTGCTAACAAATCGGTTCGTCCATTGTCATATTGTATTACTCACATTGTGAAATTTTTGATGCAATGTATAAAGACAAGTTTAAAAATTTTGTAGTAAACGCTTTCTTAATTGCTTAAAAAACCACTAGACCAAGATCCAAGAGCCACTTGTAGATCTATGCAGAGTCGCTGGGTGGTCTAGTCGAATACTCGAATTTACTGCTGAAAAATTCATGGTTACGTAGTTTCTTATTGTTTAGAAAATAGTTTTATTATTCAATGAAAGGTACACATGACATGACATGACAGGCCGTTTCAGTTAGACCAAATCATAGTGGAAATGGCTTCCATTGACATTGGAAGAGGCAAAAACAGGTTCCTTGGTCCGAATCTTCTAACAATGTGTAATAATCTCCATATCTTACTGTTACTACGTACCAACCAGAATCAAACCTGGTATCTTTAGATTTCTCTCTGTTCTTCCAATTTGTGCTCTGTTTCGTGTTCTTCCTCTGTTTTTCTCCTCTGTTCACTTCTCTGGTTACACAGCGTTTTTCATCTCATGGCTCGCCAATTTCAAACTCATACTCTTCTCCTTCGATCAAGGCCCTCTTTTCCCACTTCCCTCAAATCTCACCCGATTCATCTGCTTCGCTTGCTTCCCCATCAAGCTTCAACAAAACCCTAAGCGATGAGACTATTTCTTCCAATGGGAATACCCCATTGAAGTTTT